AGGAGTGACCTGCCCAAAACACATTGCTAACAAGTAGCAGATCTAAGATCAAAATCCTGATCCTTCATCTCCAAATCCAGAGCTCTCCCCATTCCATCAACTGCCTCCAACTAGAGAGCTGAGAATTTGAAGTTATTACTGAACGTTGCTAATGACCTTTCCTAAACCCTTCTACAATCTTGCTTCTCATTGGAGGAGTAAGGATAAATAAGAAAAGTGTGGGGGAGTGGGAAATATTTACGTAAGCATAATGTGATACAGGGTGTCCCAAAAGTCTAAGCCATTAAAACTTAAAATTGCATTAAGATATTTGGGACACCCTATATAAAGTGAGCTGAGGTTGTATCGGAAAAACCTCATTCTGAATGAAGGATCTAGAGGGAAATCAAAGATTTCATTAGTTATCTTGCTATTTATCCTAGCTACTCAATTTAAATCAACACAGATTGTACCTACTGTGTGCAGATAACACTGTGATAGGTGCTAAGGAAGTTACCAAAGTTATATAAGACAAGCTCCCCATCCTCATAGAGCTTACAGAACAGCAGGAAACCAAGATACAAACACAGATAACGTCAATAATGCTTGAGAAGTGCATTAGAGGGGTGCAAAGGGGTGGAATTAGGAAAGATTGAGTTAAAAAAAAAGATGGTATTTAAGATGAGCTTTTAGAAGATGGATGGGAATTCAATAAGGGAAACAAGAAGGAGAGGGCTTTGACTAAGTGTAAGCCTACAACAGCCCACTACATATAAAAGGCTCAAATCTATCCAGCTTGCCACCCTCCCTGACAACACAGCATACATTATTCTCCCATCCCAGCTTTCTACCTCTTGCATTGGGCACAGAGATCAAGTCAATCGTATCATCCCTTCTTGGAAGGGATTATCATTTAACTTCCCTATGACTCTATACAGGGGCTTCCCAGACCTAAACTATCTTCCCTTTCCACCCCTTCCCTATATATGTCATCTTCCCCTATTAGAAAGTATGCTTACCACTCCCCTGACAGAGAGGTGATCATGAAGAATGAACCTACCCATTTTTGGATAGAGCTAATATGGATATTTGTTTTGGTTGACCACGTAGATTTGTTACATGAAGGTTTGGTTTTTCTTTTTTGGGGGAGGGGAAATGGGAGGGAGAAAAAATAAAATTTAATTGTAAAAAGAAAATAAGTTTCATGTGGGTAAGACTGTCAAACATTACATAGTGATATCAGAAGAAAATGCAGGTTTCAAGGCTGGAGAAGGGGAGATAATGAACTCAGTTTTGGACATGTTAATGATGGGCTCTACAGAACTGTAATTACCCAACTTGTTGTAGTCATTGTCCCTTAGTTTTAAGAGAAAATATCTGAAAGGCCACCAAGGGAGGAAAGCAGTGAGCAGAAAGAGTTCTTACTGAAACGTTCATGAAAACATACCTCATTAAGAGCTAGACATCACAAAGGGAGGGGAGACAATTTATCTAGTTTTTAACACCATGTCAAGGACTCCTTTAGGACTAGGACAACAGGTAGGCAGCACGATACTTGCCCGGGCCCATTGGTGTAGAAAGAAGGGTATCCAGTTACTATGAGTCCTGGGGGTGAGGCCAAATCAAAGGTGTCAGGATGAACCAGAGGCATGAGCAAAGTTGGGCATCTGAGCAGACAGATAGACACCTCCAAGCCAGGCAGAGCACAGAGGTTGCTTAGTTAGTATCAGGTTTGATCTAGGATGGAGGGCACAGTCAGGAAAGAAGTACAGGTATGAAGACAGAAAACAAAGCTTAGAGCTCACGGTTCAGGCTGGTCACAGGGCTCACAGGGACAAGGAGAGGGATTTGACCTGTGATTTCATATGTATAGGAAACTCCCAGATGAAGAAACCCTTTACCAATTTGGTTCAGCACCTTCTTGGCAATTTAGGCTTAGAATGCGGCTCAGACTAGATTTGTCAAATACACTGCCATCTCCCGAGTGGGCCTAAACCAGATTAAAATGACATTGGAAATACTTAACAAAATAAATAAAAATACAGTAAAATGTAGATAACAAGTAGTGGTCCCCATTTCTATTTGAATTTGATATCATTGATTGAGAACATTCGTGCAGGGTCACACACACAGCCAGTGTTTGTCAGAGATGGGACTGAATACAGATCTCACTGTGCAGAAACTGCTTATGATCACAGCTTTGGAGATGGAAGGGATCCCAGTGGTCAGTTAGTTCGGCCCCCCTTTAAAAAACCAGTCCAAGGTCACACAGCGTCACAAGTGGGATTTGCACCAAGAGCCTCTGCCTCTGCCTATGTAACAAAGGTGAAATGAAAGCATCTCAGCAGCCTGAATAAGTGGTAAGGTGCATGTGATACAAGTAGGGTAGGATTGCCTGTGACGAGACAGTCTGTGTTTTCCCACAGTTGTGGGGAAAAGATAAGGGCTGGCAGGTGCACGTGGCTTCTCCTGAGTGAGGCCGGATCCTGCAGGAGCTGGTAATGGTAGCAGAGGGTCAAGCCCTACAGTGTCAACAAAAATCATTCAAGAAAAAAATGACAAAAGAGAATAAAGCACAACCTTTTTTGGACAAGTGGCTTTTCTATAGTCTTTTAAGGTTTAGAAAAACGCTTTCCTCGCAACAACCCTGTGAGGTAGGCGGAGCAAGTGTTAAAGGCAGTAAAACTGAAGCCCAGAGTCGAAGGGTTACCAGGGGTCACATAGCAAGAGAGGCATCAGACGCAGGATTTGAACTGATGTCTCCAGACTGCAAGTCCAGCACCCACGGAGGGCACCCCACTGCCTTGGAACACCGGAGATGTTTCTTTTTCGTGTAAGTGGTACCAACTGGCTGTATACCTCGATGAATTCAATAGGTCTTTACTTCACTCTGCCAAAGTAGACAGAGAGAGATTCAGGGTGACTGACGTTTCCCACTGCATGGATCATTGGAACAAATTCTTCTACCCGAGTCAACAATATGACTGACCTTTCATCTTGAAGTTAAAGATAACCAGGAAAACAACTGGCAACATTATGCTGCTTCCATTGGTGAGAGAAGGCAACCTTGAAAACCCTGGGCTGAGCTGGGGCCTAGTGCCTCTGATTTGTCTTTCACTTCTTTCAATTCAATTCAATTCAGTTCATTTCCAGTTCAATTCAATTCAATCCAATCCAATTTAATCTAATCCAACAAACATTTGTTAAAGCACCTACAATATGGTCAAGGCACTGTGGTGGGTGCTGAGATACAAAGAAAAAAATTAAATTTCCTGCCCACAAGGAGCTTACAATCTACCCAGATGAGTAAAAAAACAAGGTAAATCAAAGAGAGAGGAAGCTGACAAGGGGGGGGGAGGGGGAGTCAGAGAAGGTTTCTAGTAGATACACTCCATCCTTCCCCAACTAGCCTGCTTCCTATTACAATCCTGCCCCTACACAGGTAAAAATTTAATCACCAGCTTTTAATTTGGTGATTCATAATATCTGGCCAAGAACAATTAAAGGAGTATAATAACAAATATATGGTTAATTTAATCTCAAGGGCAGTTAAACTACTTATTTTGCATGGAGAGGTGGTGGCCCTTTTCTAATATTTCAGTGTTAAATGTACAGAAAATGTTTTAGTATTGTTTAAATTAATTTAACTCAAACTAATAAAATCAACATTAAAAGAAGAGAAAATGTTTTAGCATTATTAAAATGAAATTTATTAAGTTAATAAAATCAACATTACAATGAACAGAAAATGCTTAAGGATTATTAATGATAATAAATCGTCATTGATGAGCTGTGATCTACTTTATTGGAGGGATTACCCACATTATTGAGATCACAGATTAATTTGAGTTTAAGTAATAATAACAATAACCAATATTTATTTACTTGCTTTAAAATTTGCAAAGCACTTTGCAATATAGCCAGGGGTGATACAGTAGATAGAGTGCTAGTCCTAGAGTCAGGAAGATCCGAGTTCAAATCTGAGCCCAGACACTTACTGGTCATGCCATTTAACTGGCATTTAACTAGACGAGTCATTTAATTGCTGTTTGCCTCAGTTTCCTCATCTATAAAAAGGATATAATAAAAGCACCTAACCCCCAGGATTAGTGTGAGGATCCAATGAGATAATATTTGTAAAGTGCTTAACCCAATGCCTGGCACATAGTAGGCACCATATAAATGTTAGTTATTATCATTATTACAGTGTTTATTAAGAATATCATTCAGAGGAAAGACAGACTCTTTTTTCTTTTTCTTTTTTCAATTAACAAAAAAGAAATTAGATTTTAAAAACCAAAATAAAAGTGTTTTTCTTATCATCAAGCTCTAAACCATTTTGATCAATTCACTTGAAGAAATTCAGCAATTCTCAATAGCTTCAGTATATAGACAAGGCACATGAGAACCTCCCCTCTCTCCCAAGGGATGCCTCTTGAACTACAGACAGAGAAATGAATACTAGGTCAAGGAAAAGAACTCTCATCCTCACATCCTAAAACTGACATCTTCCAATAAAGAAGCCTGAAAGAACTCTTGAAATCTAGTTCACCCTCCTTTTAAAAAAGAGAAATCTATCTCTTTTCTACTACCTTTTTTTCAAGGTATCAAAAAGGAATGGGGGGCTTGGGAACAAATGTCTTCATAGAAGATAAAACATAGCCACACTTGTTTTGAAGTTTCAAAGAAAAAAATTTATTTACAATAGAGAATTTTATTTGAAACATGCATTTTTCTTTTTCTTTTGTTTTTTTTTTAAAACAAATCAGCAAATGCGGATCAAGTTTACACTCCTTAAGGCAAGAGTCCCCATGCAAAGTTATACGTGTTCATATTAAATCCAAAAGACACCCAACATGGGAACTCATGTACAAAGGGATAAGCTAGGATCAGCAATTTGTCATTTATTAGAGAATTTGACAATCTCCCTGATACAGGAACTCTGAGATCAACTTGCTATGAATTATACTATGAAAATGCAAACAATAGCAAGAAATTCTGATAGTCTTCTGAGAACTGCATACAATTAAATCAACTTTATTTAGAAAGAAAATACAGTAGTGCATACGAAAAAGTGAAAATATAACCTGTCCACATAAAGGTATGGACATCAGTGTGCCAATGGTCATATTGCACTCAATAGTGTAGTCCAAAAATTTGGTTCAAAGTTAGCTTTTCCCCATTTTGGCAATCAGTTCATCACAAATCTTGGTAAGTTCTTCTATTTCTTTATTCTGAAAGTGAAGGAAAGAAAAAGACTTAATTAGAATAAAATATTCATCTTGACTCCTTTTGGGTTCCTTACCCACTATGCCCTCCTGATCCCTAGAATTACTTGTTTGATATATATGGAATCCAGGGGAGGAGTTAACTCACACTGGCGAGCATTGCTGAGAAATACCAGAAAATAAAGAATTAAGTAGTTCTATGTTGATTGGTGTTAGCACTGTTTCTGCTGGATGCTTACATCAAAAAATGCAACAAATTAGGATTGCTGAAATGAGAGTCTAGGCTCTAATGTACATTAGATTGTAGAAGAAGGCTAACTGGCATGCAGACCGTTCTAGTTCCTTAGTTTGTTTTTTAAGAATCTAAAAGTATACACAAATTACTGATAGAAGCTTCAACAGCCCCCCCCGTCAGAATAATCCTGTGTTTTCATGAACAAAAAAATAAGAAATTTCCTCCTCTCCCCATCCCTAGAAGAAATATGGATATAGATATATGGCTAAGCTTTCTAGACATTATAAATTAAAAAATCAGTTGCCATCCGAAGGCCAATCAAATGCAAATTGTCTCACAAACAATTTATCTAAGTAACTGGATCATAATTGATCTCAGTGGGAGGCACCCGGTTCAACCATCAGTGACAGCTCTGATTATTAGGAAATATTTCTGAGCTAGATGTGCCTTGTACCAGAGGGATTACTGATACATTAATCTGCATCCACAGTTGGTTATGTCACTTTACTAAATCACATACATCACCTAGCTCTACATCTTTAGAAGATATCAGGGATTCTCTCCTCCCTCTTACTCTCCCTCCACTCCCCAAGTAGTAATTGATCCCTTCACATATTTCCAAGTATTTGATTAACCAGATAAAGTTGAATAAGGTCCCAGTAGATGTCTTGCTGTTAAAGCTCACCCATTCATTCAACAACTATTTATTAAGCATTTACTATGTGCAGCCTCTCCTCTTATATTCTAATGCCTCCTGTTAGCATGAACTTGACTGTGAGCTAAGTTCAGACGGGCTCATAATGAGAAAGTTGGCCAAGAGGTAATGGTTTTTTTTTCTCCCACAGAAATTCCATCTTCTCTATCTGGAAGATTGATTACTAAATTATGGATGGGTTGTGACCTACACTGGCTGAGGGAGTACCATAACCAATAGCTAGGTGGTACAGGGCTGGAGTACTGGGTCTGGAGTCAGGAAGACTTGAGTTCAAGTCCAGCCTCAGACATTAGATGTGTGATCCTGGCCAAGTCACTTAAACTCTGTCTGCCTCAGTCTCATCAACTGTAAAATTGAGATAACAATAGCCTCTTCCTCACAGGATTGTTGTAAAAATAAATGGGATATTTGCAAAGCACTTAGCACAGTGCCTGGTACATAGTAGGTACTTAATACATGCTTGTTCTCTTCCCTTTCCCACCAACAATATCACAGATCTCAGAAATAGTGAAGGTATCCTATGAATAGACTCCGTAGTAAGCAATGGGGGAGATGAAAAGATAACTAAGATACAACACCTGGTGTCATGGAGCTTATATTCCAGTTAAGGAAGAGAAAAATCATTAGTAGGGAAGATACAAAGTATGCAAAACTAGAAAATAAATGTGCAATAGTTACTTGTTACAATAGTGAAGAATAAAATATTACATAAACATAAGAGGTATGAAGTGCTATGCAAAGTCTAGGGAAAAAAGCACATGTGTACATTGGCATCTGAGCTGAATGGCGGCCCTGGTGCTGGCCAGCAGGACAGGCACTAAGTGTGGTTTACCTCATATTTTACCTCAAAATCACAGACTATTTAATCTGTTGGACATATTTGTAAAACTCTCTGCTAGCTCTCTTCTCAACAAGTTATCAATATGGGAAATTCAATGGTTCTATAAGGCACAAGATGGAAGAGAAGCATCTGCTTTAACCTGACGTTTTTAAAAAAATCATCTCTGTCTAGAAGAGGCCTTAGAAACAGTTGGATTTTTTTTTTTGCTTTGTGGCGAGGCAATTGAGGTTAAGTGACTTGCCCAGGGTCACAAAGCTAGTAAGTGTCAAGCATCTGAGGCCAGATTTGAACTCAGGTCTTCCTGACTCCAAGGCTGGAGTTCTATCCACTGTGCCACCTAGCAGCTCTGTAGTTGGATTTTTTTGATTAGACATCATTAGAAATAACATTTTAGCAACAATTACACCAACATTAAGTGAACTTTGAACAGATGTCCACCAATATTTAAATAATCAAGCTTAGACAATCCTATTCAACAGCTAAACTTTTTGTGCTTAAGGAACGTATTTTTGCCACCACATGATGCTGTAGGGACCAATAAAATATAAATCTTCTTAAAATAAGGTTTATTCAATAAACACTTATTGAATGCTTACTATGTCCAAGGCATGGTGACTGCTGACATACTACTGGGCCATACTGAAGTTCTTTATGGAAGTGGAAAACAACTGATAGTATCTTTCCTAAGCATGTTTCCACTCACCACTACCTCTTTCAGAAACTTGGGATCTCAACCAATCACTTGTAGGAAAGCTTGAGAATATTTAAAATTCCTTTCTGAGACAAAAAAAAATACTCTCTGGGGGAGAAGGGAGGAAGAGGCAAAGAGTAGAGTAGTGGGAATCCCTGGCTGCTCATGCTAAGGCTGAAATATGTTGGCCTTCTTGTTGAGCAAGAATATGCGTTTAGGTCTGAAGCTTCTACAAAAGAAGGCTATATTGCCTCCCTCATATCTCGTCTCTAAAGCTGGGACTCTGATTATAATCCAAAGAAAAGAAAGGGGGTAATACATATCTTTGTTAGAGGACTAGATCATGAACTGAATGCAACCTCAAACCTGCTCAAATCATTTTACATTTCTTCTTGTATTTAGTCGCAGGAACTATACACATACACATACATATACATTTACATATACATATACACATATACACATGTATATGTGTGTATATATATATATGCATATATATATCTATATATCTTCCTCTACATTTGAATTTACATGTCAGAAAATGAAAATAATGTAAGCTCCATTGCTTCCCTTTTTGCCTTAGCTGCCTAAAAACCTAGAGCTAAATTTAATACCCAAGTATGTTCGTTCTCAATTAAGACCTCTCAAATTATCTACTCCTTCGGTTCTTTTGTATGTTTTACCATCTGCTTCAAGTCCTTTCTAAAGTAGTCAGGCACACACACTGCCTTAAACTGGGCAGGCAATTGTCCCACTATACTCTGCTGTTGCCAGACCTCATCTGTACTGCGTTCCATTCTGAGTGAGACAGCCTAAGAGAGGACATTGCTAAGAGAGAAAAGTGTTAAGAGAAGAACAGCCAGGATGGTGAAGGACCTTGAGCCCTGGTAACATGACGATTTGTTGAAGGCACTGTGTGGGTTTAGTCTGGAGAAGGGAAGAGAAAACTCAGAGGGGCCATGGTAACTGTTCCCAAGGATCTGAAGGGCTATCGTGTGCCAGAGGATCACACTCGGTTTTTTTGACCCCAGAATGCAGAACCAGGAGCCATGGGTAGAAGTTGCAAAGAGGACGCTGTAGTCTAAATGGCAGGAAATACTTCTTTGACATTGAGTAGTGACTCAATGACTGTTTTTAAAGTATGTTATAGTGGAGATTCTCTTTGTGCATGGGTTAAATCAGATGCCCACTGAGGTCCCTTCTAACACTCAAATTTTGTGATTCTTTGATTTTTCTTTTTTGATCAGCTGATAGTCACTATCTGTACCATAAATGAATTCATTTTTTAAGTTAGAATACAATCAAAATAACCTTGCCCCTAAAACTGTAACATAAGTGAATCTTTCCTTCCTGGCTATGTAGGACTTTAGAATCTTGTAGGGTCTCAGGGCCATCACTGTGAGCATCAGTTATCACTGTAAAGTCACAGAGATGTGAAAACTATACAAAGCTATGTGTACTGACCCTGTGGCATGCTCTGGAGACTGACTTTAAATCTATCCTGCCTATCAGTTTATTTGTTTGACATATCTCTTCCTCTATAAAAGTTGATAACTGGTGAAACATGAAAAAAAATCTAGTTATCCGAGCTTTTTGGTTGTTTTAGTGCTATATAAAAGAAGTAACTTACTGTAAGGCAGTAGGTTAAAATGATGTAGTGAAATTAAGTAGCATAAGAGAACGAGAGATTATTGTTTTTCCACAGCTAAAAGGGACATTAGAAATTCCATTGTCCAACTTCTCATTTCACAAATGAGGAAGCTTGAAGCCCAGAGAGTTGAAGCAAGTTGCCTAAAGCCCTATAGATGATTATCATTAAATTTTAAACTAGAACAAAGACCTGCTGTCTCCCAGGCCAAGGTTTTTCCCATTATATCATTAAAGTTAAGTAAGAGTTGGTACTTGTCAAGCGATCCCAGTCCTCTGTCTTAGTTCACCCTCATTCCTTCACAAAGTAAACGAGAGGCTGCATTTATTCACTGATTTTACTGGCATCTCTCAACTTCATTTAAGAAGCTTAACTTTTGTTTACGTCATGGACCCCCTTGGCAATCTGGCAATCTGGTAAAACCTTCTCAGAAGAATGCTTTTAAATATGTAAAATGCATAAGATTATAAAGGAAACTGACTGCACTGAAGTACAGTTATCAAAATATTAAAAAAGAAAACAAGTTTACCACACCCAGTTTAAGAACTTTTACCCTGAATAGAATAAGGATTGAGATTCTCAAAATGAACAATTCCTAGTTGTCTTGCAAAGGCAACTTTGGAAGAGATGCTAGAACACTGACATCTGTAAGCACAAAATTCAGATTAATGAGAAAGACAAGTAGGCACATTTTCTCCAAGGACAACTAGATAAATCTTCACAAGGTAGAAGGGTTCTGGGAAATTTCCAAGGGTGTCTCCATACTGGAAAAGTGCATCGTAATATAATACAATTCTGGATTGAGAATCTGAAGAGCTCGGTTCAATATCTATGTAGCCTTGGCAAAGTCATTTAATTTAATGGGACCTGTTTCTTCATCGGCAAAATGACAGGGTTAGACTAGACCAAAATTTCCAGGGGTGTCTCCATACTGTAAAAGTATATCATAATATAATACAATTCTGGATTGAGAATCTGAAGAGCTCGGTTCAATATCTATGTAACCTTGGAAAAGTCATTTAATTTAATGGGACCTGGTTCTTAATCGGTAAAACGACAGGGTTAGAATAGACCAAAGGTCTTAACTCTTCTGGTGAAGCCTGTGAATCCCTGGAATACTGTTTTTAAATAACTAAAGAAAATGATAGCTTCAGTTAGAGGTTAGTAACAATAAAGATGCGATTTTTTTTTTCTCACCCATGCTCACAGACATCCTGAAATCTATCCATGGATCCCAAATTAAGAACTCCTAGATGTGATAATTTGTAAAGGATTATTGTATCATAGCCGGCATCTAGGTGGCACAATGGATAGAGTGTCAGACCTGGAGTTAGGAGGACCTGAGTTCAAATACAACCTGAGACACTTACTAGCTATGTGACCCTAGGCAATTCACTTAACCTTTCTGTGCCTCAGTTTCCTCATCTGTAAAATGAGCTGGAAAAGGAAATGGCAAACCACTCCAGTATTTTTGCCAAGAAACCCTCAAATGGGTTCACAAAGAGTCGGACACAACTGAAAAAAGAAACCCGATTAAGAGGATCATAGATTTGAAGTTAGAAAGAACCTTAGAAGTTCCTTGAGTACAACTCCTTCATTTCAAAGATGAAGCCACTGAGTCTCAGAGAGGAGTAATTCCTTGCCCAGGATCACATGGCTAATAAGCGTCTATGGCAGGATTTCCTGGTCTCCCTGTCCTCACGCCCAGTACTCCCTTCTAGTTATAAAGCCTATGACTATAAAAAGTCCTAAAGACTCCATAGATCCTGGAACCAATGTCTTCTGAGAGAGCACGTCAAATTTGGGCTGTAAATAGGTCCTTTACCACAGACACCAGGCTGCACAAAAGGCAGAACAAAGAAAGCACTTACTCCTGACCTCTCCAAGAACAGATGCTGCTTCTCCCACCATAAATTCCCGACAGAAGTCACAATAGCCTGCACTGAAGGGAGGCTGTGGCCCCATTTATCCAATACATCATAGGATCTCACAGTAGATGCAGAGCTGGGGACCTCCGGAGTTAGCTGGTCCAACCCTCTCTTTTTACAGATTAGAAAACTGAGTCACCAAAATGACTCACTAAAAGTCACACAGCATAGTGACAGAGCTGGCATTCAAACTCAGGTCCTTTGAATTTAAATCCAAAATAAATCACTTCACCTCTTTGGTTTCAGTTTCCCCACATAGAAAATGGAGTGTTAAATTAAGGCACTTAAGTGCCATTTCAACTCTAAAAGTCAACAACTAAGGTTGTTGGTCGAATTTCTGATTTCTGGCCTGAAGGACTAAACTAGGTACCTCTTTTAATCTTCATGTTCACTGTCATTACATTGGGAAGCTTTTAATACCTTCAATGGTTTTGACACTCTCTTCTCAAGGGTAAGGATGAGGTTATCAGAGATTGAAGAGATTCATGACACCAGGAAACCTATTGCCCAAAGAGCTTAAGGTCCTGAGAAGAACACAGAGACATTGGCATTCCCAGCACCCAAGAAGAGTTGAGTGATGAGGCAGCAAGGAAGACAGAGTCAGACCCAGCAAGTCAAACCATTATGAATTCCCCCCACTTTGGGGAATTATGGTTTTCTTTTTTCACCTGATAACAGACAAATGCTCCTTGGCCATGGCCACGTTCTGCTAGCTCTAATTTGAGGATAAACAGAAGGCGGCAGCCACATTATCGCGGATTGATCAACACACTGGCAAACACCACATCTCCAAGAAGACTTTACTTTGGGAACACATTGAAGTTACTGAATAAATTACCTTTTGTTCCAGTGTTCTTTCCAGAGCGTCTACCTTCAGCTGCTCTTTTCGGAGACTGGCCTGGTAGGCTGCTTGCTCCTGCTGAGCCTTTCCTCGGACTTGTGCAATCTCGGCGTTGGCTCTGTGGGAATACGTGATGCATAGATGAATATTATTCATTACAGAAACTTTAATATTTCCATTTGCCTTTCTATGATTCTATAATTCAATTCAATATTATATTATATTATGTTTATTATATTATTACCAAGAGGCTACATATTACAGTGAATTGAGAGCTGGGCTTAAATTCAAGAGGTAATGACTGCATGACTCCAGGCAAGCCAATAAACCTGTCAGTACTGCAGGCAACTCTATGATCAATCAACCAATCAATAAGTCTCTATTAAGTGCCTGCTAAGTGCCAGGCGCTGGAGATACAAATCCAATGCACGAACAATCAAAACTCATAAGGACCTTCCATTCTAACTACTTTAAATTACATAGAACTGCTAATGAAGAATTCTACCCACTTTCATTAGCAGTTCTCTGGAACTGTGATTGATCACCATGTTGAATAGAGTTCTTTTTTTTCTTTATTTAAAATTTTATTTTTATTTTCAGTTCCACATTCTCTCCCTACCTTTATCCTCCCCTCATTGAGAAGGCAGGAAATGGGATATCCATTATTACATATATAATTGATCAGAGTTCTTAATTCTTTCCAAATTGTTCATTTTTACAATGTTGTTGTTATTGTATAAATTGTTCTCTTGCTTCTTCTCACTTCACTCTGAATCAGTTCACAGAAGCCTCCCTAGGTTTCTCTGAACACACCCGGCAAGGAGACTTTAGATGGAAGGGGCTGTCTGGTCCTGAACTGATTCTTGCTCATGATAACCAAGACACCATAACTGAAAGCAAGACAGCAAGGGGAAAATGGCATCAAGGCTATTTCCACATTCCAGAAATCTGCAACGCCTACTTTTTCTGGATAATCTGCCTTTAAGAAGGGGTAAGATAATTTGTTGAGTGGTTTTAGGTATAGCTGGAGTCTGGGAAGATTGCAACTCTACCTCCAGTATTTTCTTATAATTCTCATAACTTCTTGACTTGTTCCTCATAATATGTGTTCACCACTACCTGGTCAGAGTAATATTTCTTTTCTTAATGCCAATTATCAACATAGAAAATAATGCTCTTAAAACATTTGACTTTCAAAAAATCCTAGAAATATTTGAGAGACAACCTGGGTTAAGAAGAAAACTTGGATTCTGTTGAAAAGGAAAATGGTGTCACTCTCCTCTCAGAATCAAGTGTATGTTGGTTGGTTTTGGGAGGTCACTTCTCCCTTCTCATCTCCCAAATCAAGTGTGTGGCCCAATTAGACAGGTTAATACTACAAGCTAAGAAAGTTTTCTGTAAAAGGTTTAAATCCCATAGAATAAGGTAAATATTTTCATAGATTTTTCTTTGAAAATATTTTGATAATTTGTTCCATCTAGGGAAATGTGTTTATACATGCATTCAATAATTTATTCAGTCTAGGAAGTTGTGTTTACACATATTTATGCATACGTATAGAGTTTATTTCTGCAAATCCAAGGATCTGAATGCTATCTTGCTGCCTTCTTCAGTCACACTGATTTGTTACTGTAGGGATTTCCCCAAGAAAAGTGAATGACAAATATTTATCTTTAAAAGCAAGAGCATAAACCCCTACGGCATGAATTTGTCTTGATAAATTTATATAGATAAGCTGGTAAATCTATACTATACAGATTCTCTTGATTTTTTTTTATAAGTACTCAGTAAGAACAGTCAATCAATTATCATTTACTTAGCTCTTACTTTTGGCAGGCATGGTATTAAGTACTAGGGTTACAAAGAAAGGCAAAAAAAAAGACATTTCTCCTCTTGAGGCAATCACAGTCTAATGGTAGAGACAACATGCAAACAATGATATACAAACATATTTACAGGATAAACTGGGGGTAGTCTCAGAAAAAAGTACTGAGATTAAAATTAAGAAAGGCAGAAGGTGGGACTATAGCTGAGATTTGAAGGAAGCCAGGGAAGCTAAGAGGTGGAGATGAAAAGGGAGAATGCTCCAGGCCTGGGAGATAGCCAGTGAAAATACTAAGATTCAGAACTTGGAACTTCTTGTGGGAGAGACAGCCAGGAGGCCAGTGTCACAGGGAAGAAGCAATAAGAAGAATGGAAAGGTTGTGTAGGGCTCTCAAAGACAAACACAGGATTTTATATTTGGTTCTGGAGGTGATAGGGAGCCACTGAAGCTGATTAAATGGGAGAATAAGACAGTCAGAGCTGTGTTTTAGGAAGATCTGTATGACAGCTGAATGGAAGGGATTGGAATGGGAAAACTAGAAACAGGGAGACCCACCAGTAGGCTACCACATTGGTCCAGGTGTAAGGTGACAAGGACCTGCACCAGAGATGTAATAGTGTCAGAGGAGAGAAAGAGGCATATTCAAGAGATGGTTCATTTAAAGTCACTTGTATTTGTAACTCAGCTACCCTTTACTGAAATTGGTTTCAATGAGAGCCACAAGTGCATTAGGTTTAACAAACATCACACCTATGGTCTCCAACATAAAAATCACCTTATGGGGTCAGACATGTTCCATCCAGATTAATTGTCTCATATAAGGACTTTTTCCCCACACATAGTTTGCTCTACATCACTTTGTATAAGTGGTTTTTTTTTTTTAAATTACGTTTGTATCTTTTAATATGGCAACAATATCACAATTTATCCAGTCATTTTTCAGTGGTTGGAAGTATAGTATGTTTACAATTTCTCATTATTAAAAGTAAAGCAACTATGGTTCAAAGGGAGAAAGCACAGGACTTGATCACTGGACATGGCGGGGTGAGAGAGAGTGAAGAGGCAAGGGTGACATGCTGAAAAGGAATTTACCTGTCCAGTTTTTCCTCTGCGTGTACTTTCAGTGCCTGGTACCTCTGCTCCTCTTTTTTCACACGGGACAGATACTCCTGAGCACATTTCTTCAGCACCTCTTCATTCTAAGACAGGGAAGGAAAATGACATCAGATCCCAGGGGCAGAAAGAAACCCACAAGCATGAAGAGAGACCTGGAGACCTCACTGCTCCCAGCAGAAGCAAAACCGCTTGACTCCCTAGTTCTTAGCTAATTTTAACCCACCTTTGACTGTTTATTCAAAGATGTTTCCATAACAGCATCTAGTAACTCATTCCTTTTCCTAACAGGAATCATTTTTCCTAACTCAAAACACTTTGTCCCTTCTCATTTGGGTCCTCCCTGCACACAGGCACCAACACCCAATTCTGAACCAAACGTGTGAAAAATAAAACCTGACATTTACATAGCACCTAAAGATTTGCAAATGTTTTAAATACATTATCTCGGAGTCTCGTGCAATCCTGTGAGAGAGTTACTATCAGTATTTGTATCCCTTCTTTCGTGGGTGAGAAACTGAGGCTCAAACATAACTAATAAGTATCAAGGACAGAATTCAGATCAAGGCTTCTCCAGACTCTGAAACCAGTACATCAGCTCAGGAAACAAAAAGCATTGCGGCAGCATGGATAGAGAACTGGACTTAAAGTCAGGAAGACCTGGGTTCAAGTCTCACTTCAGACATATAATAGCTCCACGGCCTTGGGCAATTTACTGAACCCCTCTGTGCCTCAGTGCCCTCATCTGTAAAATGAAAGGGTCAGACCTTTGGGCCTCTAAATCTACGATCTTATGATCTGTGAGTATATTCTTACGCAACTCCCCATGTCCACTAGAAAATAAGTTTGAGGTAAGAAGAACTCAATATTTATCCATCCAACAAACATTTACTTAGTACCTCTGAGCAAAACATAATGCTAAGAGCCACACGTACCGATTCCTGAAACGTACCTTGCGAAAACCCTCCAGGACCTCTTTCATTTTTTCGTATCTCCTAAAAAGATCAGCTAAAGATTTTTCCACTGAGTTCAGGTCAGCCAAGGCTTGCTCCTTCTCCACAATCAGCTGCTGGACAGTATGGTGGGAGACCGACTTTTCTCTCTGTTCATCCTCTGGTTCGAAAATAGAAATAGCCAAACAATTGAGCCCATGGCTTATGCACTGCTTCACTCATAGTCTTGCTGCATGTAACTGAACATATTCTATGTTACTATATGTTTTGAGACAGAATGACTTTCTAAAAGCTACTCTCCCTTTCAAGTGGAAAAACGAAGGAATGCCAGCCAAATGAATATTGGGCCTGAGTCTTTAGATCATGTGAAGTGGAAAGTTGACAACTATCTTTTTTTTTCAATCAACTTTAAACATTTATTAAGCACTTAGGCTAAGAACTATGGGAGATACCAAGGTTAAGTAAGACAGTCCATGCTGTGACAGAGCTGATAATCTAGAAGGAAAGAGGTACAACACACACACAAAGAACTGTCACTAAGATGATATAGGACACATATGTAAAGAGCTGTATATCATATGCTTCCTGGAGAGGAAGTTACTGACTGGGGAGGATCAGGAAAGGTTTCATGGATGAGATGGTATTTGGGATTTTAGCTTTAAAGAATGGATAGGATTTAAATAGGTGGATGTGGGAGTGAAGTGAGGGGTATTCCAGGCACAGTGAACAGCACTAGCAAAGGCACATAGGTTATACAACACAGAGCATCCTCGGGTGACAGCAAATAGTCTGGTTTGGTGGATGAGTCAGGGAATAGTGGGAGGTTAAGTCTGGACAGACATGGTATTGACAGCTTGTAGAAAGCCTCTAATATCAAGAAAAAGGAAGGCGACAACAAGTCATTGAAGAGCACGTATAAGGCAGATCAATATGGCAACAAAATGGAGGATGGATTAAAGAGGAAAGAGGAGGGGGCAACCAGGATAGTGAAGTCCTTTGAGTTGATAATAATATGAGGGTTGGTTATGAAAGCTGGACGAAGTTTAAAGTTATTCAGTCTGGAAAGACTAAAAGACTGAGTGGGGATGTAAAGGGCTATCATATGTAAGAAAGATTAGATTTGTTTTCCTTTATTTAGAGGCCAGATATATACTATATATAACTATACTATAGGGCAGGGTTCTTTTATGTATGGGTTGGATTATATGGCTGATGAGACCTCTTTCCATTCTCAAAATCTGTTATTCTTGGAACTCAAGATGTAGAACTGACAAAAATGGATAATTCATTGGACATATGGAGAAGGAAAAGCCAAAATTAACATCAAGGCTTCAAGTGACTAGATAAATGATATCACCATTGTCTGAAACAGAGATACTGATATAAGGCTCAGTTTTTGGCAAGGGGAGGGAAAAGATAATGAGATTGATTTGTGACAGGTTAAATCTGAGGGGCTAGTGAAACATCCATGTGAAATGGTCTTGGTTCAATTATCTGAATTTAGGAGAAAGGCAGGGACTAGAAATATGGTTTTAGAAGTCATTTGGGTAGACATGATGTTGAAGTCATTGGAATGAATGGGTTTTAGAGGAAAAAGAAAAGACAGCTGAGAACAGTCTTGAAAATGGACAGAATTGAGGAGCTGGGTAAGAGCTAAAGAATTCAAAGGAAAGCAAAGGGGAGATAAAGGAGTGGTTAGAGAGTTAGAAGGAAGTGTCTCAGAAGCTGACTGAGTGTGAAAAATTGTGTTCAGTAACAGGAAATTGTCAATGGCCCCAAAAGATACGGAGAGCTCAAGGAAAGGAGAACTGAGATAATTCTTCTGGATTGAATAAGGAAGTGACTGATGACCATTAGGAGCATCATTAGTAGTGTGGACAGAAGCCAATGAACAAGGGGCAAGAAAGAAGTTGAGTTTTGGGGTGTGGAGTGCTTTTTTCAAGGAATTAGATGGTAGAAGGAAAAAGAGAGATGGGTTGGTAGTGTCATGGAAGTAGAATGGCTGAGGGAAGGTTTTTATAGGATTGAAGATATATGACTGTGTTTGAAGGCAGACAGGAAAGAACCAATGGAAAGGGAAAGCCTGAAGATAAGAGAGAGTGAAAGCAACAAAGTGGATGGGGAGCAAAATAGGGAGAGAGGGGCAGTGACAGAGAGAAAGAAGAAGGGGAGGGAGGGAGGAAGAAAGAACAGATGGAATTGAAGGTACAGCTAGAGAGGTTTGTCTGGATAAAGAGCAAGGACACTTGATCTTTTAAGACAGGAAATAGAAAATAGGGGAGGCATGGCTAAATAGCAGCTCATTTGAAAGAAGATCTAGGGACTTTAGTGGACCACAAACTCAACGAAGGTCAATAATGTGTTGTGGCAGCCAAAATACTGGAGTGAGCTTAGGCTGCATTAAGAGACACAAAGTCTCCAGAATGTAAGAAGAGATGGTCCTGCTGTTCTCTGCCCTGGTTAGAACACATCTAGAGTGCAGGGTTCAGTTCTTGGTGCCACATTTAAACAGGGACACTAATATACTGGCATGGAAGAGAGCCACCAGAACAGGGATGTCAAATGCTGACCATGTCTTATGAGATCAGCTGAAAGAAGCGGAATATTTAGTTTAAAGAACAGGTAACTTACGGAGAACATAGTAGCTGTTTTCAAGTTTTTAAAGGCTATCAATTAGAAGATGGATTAGACCTTTTCTGCTTGGCCCTGGAGGCCAGGACCAGATGCAGAGAAGCAGCATTGAGCTTAACCACTAGAGTTATAAAAAAATTGGAATGGGTTTTCTCAGAAGGTGAGGGGCTCCTGATCCTTACTAGACATCTTCAAGTATAGTCTAGAGATAACCATTTGTTGAGGTTACTGCAAAAAAGATTCTTCTTGGTCAGGGAAAAGTTCAACTAGATGACCTCTGAAGGCTTCATTCCATAAAACCATCACATTTTGTGCTAGAACCCAACCACTGGATCAAAGTCTCATACGGCTAGAGTGTGTAGGTAGTTCTATCACCATCTAAATGAAAAGGAAATAAGTGAAAAAAAAAAAAGAAATTGTGTGCTCCTTCCAGTATCACTAAGAGATAAAGCCAGCTTAACTGTCTTGCACTTAGAATCTAGTTAACAATGTCTCCTAAAGAAACCCAGGAGCTTGCTTTGGGACAGTGGAAGTGTTAACTTCTATGTTAACTGGGCTATTTATTTTAAACAAAGGCATGACTTTCTTGGTAGAGTGCTCTAAAATGAGACTGACTCTTGGTCCAGCTGTGAGAGAATGCCTCAGGTAAAGCAATTCAATTGTCCCTGGTCTTCCCATGCCAACAAGCTTTTGCCCTACTTAATGTTCCTTTCGACCATTTCTTCCAGGGATTATTTTTAGACTAGAGTCTAATCAGGAAATTACACCTGTCTTTCCATCAGGACTAAAACTCCATAAGCTCACATCACTTTACAACTGTTAAACTGAAATTCTGCTGTGACCTTTTTGGTTTTTTTTTTTACACAGAATTTTTGCTTCTTGATTTTAGCTTTTACTCTTACAAGATGACTCAACAGAAAGGAGATAGTAGCTATATAGAGAATTACCCACTGGGACCTCCATTGTGAAAATGGAGACATTATCCCCAAAGTCCCAGCTCAAACTAGGTGCTGAGGTACAGTGAGTGAAATCAAAGCTTGTCTTGCACTGTGCTAGAGGGCCACAGTGGAAAGGGGACATATAAACCCTGGTTGTGACCTAAAAGGGTTCATTTTACAGAGATAGTAGTTAGTTCTACTTTAAAGTAGGCTAAAAGGCTATAACTCATACCAAGATGTCTCTTTTTCTTGCTGTGAATTAGAAAGACATTTGGGGATGCCTTAAATTCCCAGATTTATAGAAACCCAGTTTCCCTAATTGGTAAAGTTCATTTTCCTAGATTCAGGAGAGCTTGGTTGAATCTTGGAATTCAGTACAATTTTCTTCTATTTAAGAAATGAAGACAGTGTCTTGTAGTGGAAAGATGAGTGGGCTGAGGGGCAGGAGACCTGACTTTTTGTCCAGCTCTGCTGCCCTCTAACTGTGTGACCCCAAGCTGTCATGTTATCACAATGGACCACAATTTCCTCATCTCTTTGAGAGAGTTGAACTAGATTATCTCTAAGGCTTCTTCCAATTCTTAAATGTTACAAGTTTGAGAAAAATTTACTACCAGATATCCTAGAGGAACCTTGTTGCAACTGTTGAACCATAATTTCATAGCACACTTGCCCCATATTGTAAAGTTCTAGACTGCTATGAAATAAAGAGATCAGTGTCTAATGAGGCCAAAAAAAAAGAAAAAAGAAATCTAAGACCCACCACCATAACTTTTTAAAGTTTCATCTAGAGGCACAATAAATAAAAGGGTACTTGGAGTTGCTGCAAAAATCAAATTGCTTTTTCCTCTAAGTTAGTTTCACATTATTCTTCCCTAGATCCTAGAACATACACAGTGTATACATTTGTGAGTCCATTTTGGCTTTATTTAAATTTCATTCTGCTTTAAAATTTATCAAAAAAACATTTTAAAAACTCCTTGCTGGACTTAGATAGTTTTACAACCTTTGCCTAATATCCTTCCAGCCTCAATTCTGAAATAGAATTTTCTGTCCCCATGATGCTAAAGATGTGATTATTCACTAACGTGTCCCTGTGCTTGTAACTACAATCTTTAACTCAGTAAATTAGCCCTTGGGTCACAGGGACTCTAGAAGTGACAGGAAGAAAAATATGCTTCCCATTTGTTACATCTTTAGCTATACTAGAGCCCCAGTGATGGAGTTAAATGTTTATAAAAAATTATATAAAAGTATACTTTAGCTCTGGTAATGGAGTTAAATGCTTATAAAAAGTTTCAGGGAATGCAGCAAGTACACAAAATAAAAGCAAAGACAGCCAGACAAGATTAATAGATGCGTAATGCAGGTGTCAAAAGTGGGTAAGAAGCGTTACTTACCAGGCTTGCCTTTTTTGTTTTGCAAGCAAATAGCAAGAAGCAACAAAAATGAAAGCAAAACAGATAATCAGGGAAATTGTTAGGAAAGCAGAAAAAAACAGCGAAACAACCTGTAATGCAGAAAGCACAGAAGTATTTTTTTTAAATCCTGAATTGTTAATATTTAGGCTCAAGAAGTGTTAATACTTAAAAAAATGCCGGTAGAAATTGAAAATGGCACAAACTGAAATGAAGATGCAAAAGCCCGCTGTCATCGCATGCACTGTTTGGGAACATGAAGAATCTGGGAAAAGCAGATGCAAGCACTCGTCATAGCCACCAAGGGCTCCTCCGGCCTAAGGAGGCTGATTCTATTTTGAACAAGATTTACTGCAGTCCTGAACCCTGGCTGGATGAAAGCACTTTCTGGTTCCAAGCTTCCCTTCAGCATCATCTGTTAGTCATGCAAGATGCTTATAGGACAGAAGTGACAGAGATGGATGGAAACAGAAACACAGGCATGAAATATACATAAAGAGAAATGGGTTTTTTTCTATATAGAACCTCATGCAGTGCTGAGAAATCCCTGGAAAATAGCCTTGTTATCAAATCTAAGAGCTAAGTCCTGTCTGTTTCAATTTTCAGTTATATTAGTTAGCACACCATTGTTCCAAAAGGAACTTTTAAATGCAAGGGTGGCCTTTAATCAATTACCTGCATGATTGACAGCCTGACGGTATCAACAAACATGCCATGTTTCTGGTTTGTTTGTTTTTTTACAGCTATGAAAAGTGAAAAAGTAGATGGGTGTGCATGAATGATAATTCAGGAATGGAGGGCAGAGGGACACACGATGAAATTTTCTTTTCAAAGGCAATGATACTTCCCAAAGGCAAGCAGGAATCTTAAGAAAACTGGACTGGGTACTGGAAAGAAATCAGAGCACCAGACACTGGGAGAAATACATGAAATTGTCTATAAATGATTATAGATTTATCCAAGTGATGCTGTCACCATGTTGCTTTGTAGAATAGGTCTTCAGGTGATACATTTATAAACTCTGGCATCAGTGTAGGATGAAAGGTTCAGGGACTTAAAAATACTATGAAAGAAAGAATTCTGATTCTTCAGAAAAGCTTAATTATAATTCATCCTTTTTGCCCAGACCTGTCCATATTGCGTGAGATTGAATGGAGAGGGAAAGAGAGAGATACTCATTGGCTGGATAAACCATCTCAGGGGATTATGTTGTAAAGAAGGCATCAGAATGAGAAATACCTTTTATGTCAATTAGAGCAGGCTACAAACCAGAATGCTTCTCTCATTCTCTTTTAAGCTTGTTTTATTCTCTCTCTCTGTCTCTCTCTGTGTGTGTAGGGGAGGGTTGAAAAAGCAAGCAAGGAAGCTTATTTAAAAAAAAAGCTGTAGAAACGAAAGGTGCCTTTGGGCAGAATTTCATTAACAAGCAGAAATTCCCCCTTTCCTTATTTCAATATTTGCTTATAAATCCACACCAAGAACAATACTAAGAAGCTATTACTCAGATGTGAAAAGAGACAAACGATAATGGGTTTCACTGATGTTCCCACATCAAAAGGTTTTTTTTTTTTTATTAAAAACCTTTGGGCCTTAGTAAGTTGCCAAACACTAGATAATAGAGGACGTGAACTTTCAACACTATTACTTTCAATGACATTTAACTCAAGAAAGGATGAAGCTCCATGTACATATACCGTCATAAATTGTCACACTAATAAAAGATAATAAATACATAATCAATTACACATTGCTAGCTAGTGCACAGAGCACATACTGAACATGGCACATCCGGCGATTTTTTGCCTCTTCAAGTCATTGAGGGGAATGGACCCTCTGTTTTAAGAACACTTCAGCTCATCAGAATGGAAAATGGTGAAATTGATGCCTTCTTCTCAGATGCCAAAGCTATCATTATATTGATCTTGGTTCAGGTGAGATTTCTGCAATTTTATTCAGAAAATTCTCCTATCCTCTACCAAAGGCAACTTTGGTATCATGTCACAACACAGTAAAGCCTCCATTAACTGGAATGCAGTAACATAACCTTCAATTGACCAGTTCCACAGCCCCTCACACTCACCTCTCTTAGGAAGAAGAGAACAATTACAAGACAATACCTAATATCATTGATTTAGAACAAATGGCATCTTTCTGTGGTTAATGCTGAATCTTCCTAATCTGTAATATGTACAATACTGTAGAGTAATAATTGACATTAAAAATGGTGATGAGATGCCCTGCAAAATCTTTAATCACCAAAGAAATGCCATGTTTATGATATTATATTTGTTAAGGAAGGAAGGGGACATCAATCATAATACAAAGATTTTCTTGCTTTGTTTTCAGTTAACCTGCATTCCAGTCTACCTAGATATTACTGTATTCACACAAAGCTTCTACTTGGTGAGGAAATGATGCCAAGGCTTCTTGAGAATACCGCCTGATAGGAGCTAAGCTGAAGGATTAAGACTCAACTTTGAAGGTGTGAATTGGATCTTTCTGCTAGGTCCAAAAGAACTAGAATAAAATGGATCTGGCCAGCATGTCTCTCAAAGATTCATCTTCCTTTAAAGGTCGCCTGGAATGAATGTAATCTACTGTAACCTGAATTTACTCTTTCCTATGAACAGAGTACATAGATCATAGAATAGTGACTGGCCCAAATCTATTCCTAACCAGGGAGTTTAGCTGGGTTAAACAGCAATCACCAAGAGGATCCCATTACTTCAGGAAAACAATTAAAATGGTTTCTGTTAGTGGGCACTTCCATTATGTTTCCATATCCAAGTGAATTTTCTAAATCAGTTATTTCTTTGACCTAGGAATATTTCCTACAGGGGACCATTTGATGGGATAGAAACCAGAATGTAAGAAGCTTGTGATGCCTTATTACATCCTTAGTTCTTTTAGCGGAGTTTGGAGCTCAGTGATTGACATAGTCTTCAGACATATTTCCCCACAAAGTCTTTATAAAATCAGGATGTAAGGACAATATCCATCAGAAAGCCGGCACCTACCTATCATTTGAGCGATGGTCTTTTCATACTCTGCCACTATTTTCCTGTAAGAGAAATTAGATCAGTATAGATGTTTGCCTGATCCTTCATGACAAATGATTTTATCTCTTGAAGCCAAGAAGCCTCAGGCAGTGACGGCATATACCATGCATATTTGTGGCTGAGATGTGGGCTAATGTTTCTAAATAGAAAGCAACTTATAGAAATTTCACTAAATAAAATGATGTTTTACACTTCTCTGGTTGCCTCTAACACACTAACAACAAGTGTAAAACTTCATAAAAACACAACTCTAAACATTCATTCCAGGAAATTTCAAATTTCCATATTGCCTTCAAAGGAATTCAAACTCCTTAGCTTGGCATTTAACTTCCTCCATGATCTGGCCCCTTCCTACCACCTCAAACTTATCTCCCATTTCTCTGTTTACTGACAGCCTAACTACTATAAGCAAGTTAAACTACTTGCATTTCCCGAGTTGCTCCCCTGTGTTTTTCCCCCCTTTACTGATGTTGTCCATGTAACAATTTCACAATCATTGCAATTATTGCTTAGACTTAAACTAAATTTTCTTATTCCTGGAGGAAAGAGAATCATCATCATTATCACCATAATCATCACAATAACAATTTGAATCATGGTTACAATACACATTCACTTATTTCTATAATATAATTCTCATTACAATCCTAGAACAGATCGTATAAGTTGCATTATTTCCATTAACTAAAATAACAACAACAAACAAACAAACAAAAAACTCAGGCTCATAGCGGTAATGTGATTTGCTTCACACAGCACATTATTTATCCCAGGTCTTCTGACTCCAAAACCAGTCTTCTTTCTTCTGTACCACATTGCTTTTCTAATAGCCAGATTTCCTATTTATGCAACGCCCATCACAGGAAAATTGTTCCATTATTGTATTTTGGGTTACCAATCTAATTTAAACCCCACTGTTATCTAAGAAGAGCAAAAGACATATTTTTCTAGCTAATCCCTTTGCTCCTAGAATTCATTGTAACAGTTGTCCATCAGGTCTTTGCTAACCACATACCTTGAGTTTTTCTTCTTGAAAACAGGTCAATATAAACTGATTACGTATAGGTCAGGCAGCTGATCCATTCCTGGTCTAAGCTTTGCTACACCAATGAGATGAAACCAGCTTCTTCTATGCTATTGAAGAAGAAAGCACTTACTGGGTTCAGTCCATGCTACAAAATAATCCCTGGGCATTCTTGGGATTTCCCATTTTTCTTTGGCTTGGACTTCTTCAGAATCATAAAGCTTTCTTTAGAAAAATCATCACAAAAATTCTTTAAAAGAAATCAGCACTTCTTGGAAAAAGTGCATTGTAGGCAAAACATTAAAGAGAAAAAGGGAAGACCAAATACCAATATTTCTAAGGGACAAAGAGACAAGGGCTAGTCCAAGCAAGTCTAAGAGGCATCTCTAGTTTTCAAAATATTCTTCATTTGAGCGTTGAGAAGGTGGGGATGGGGCAGTGCCCAAACATATATAAAAGGATGTTGCCTTCCCTTGATTTGACCAGCGGTGATTAGCCTGTTCACTGCCAATAAATACTCTCATACAGGTTTGGGGCCTATAGCTGACAAGCAAAAATAGCCCATTGGGACTTCTCACGGCATCCTCAATAGTTGCCTTTTCAAATTCCTGTGACCACCCTCCAAATTCACAAGGGAGGGGCACAGCTAAACTGCAAAAGGTCAGGCTGTGTTTTAAAAACAGACAGCACTTACAGCTTCAGATGCCACCAGAAAGACATAATCAGAAGACAGAAGTCATCAGCAGGAGAGAGAAAGAGATACTTTTGCTACCTAATGCATATTAGGGAAAGAAAATGCAGTCCATATCACAGTCTAGCTGTTTGGTTTGTTCATTAAAATAGTAACAAACAATGTGTTGATTTGAGGGTGAGGTTTAAACTGAACTTAATTCAACAGTTTTACTTTGAAAAGCCTTAATGTAGACAGATCCCATATATACTACAAACAGAGGCTATATAGAGTACTGAACAGAGGAAGGGCCTAAGAATCAGAAAGATCTGGGTTCAAGTCCCATCTCAGACACATACTGACTGTGAGACCCTCTCACTGCCTCTGGTGAGTCCCCAGGACTATAAATTGCAAAACAGTTGTGATCTGCATTAATAGAGGGAGTTTTCTCACTGGGGGATCCCTACACTGATAAATCACAGCTCCGGACAAAACAAACATGCAAATTGTAATTCTAAAGGAAAAGACAATGAATTATAGACATGAGACTTTCTAAAAACAATTTATGTAATATTCTTGGTAGAAATAAAAGAAAAGAAAAGAAACTAGCCATAACACATATACTCTATAATGATTACTCACTTTTTTGGAGAGGGTCCAGCTTTGTGATTTCACCAGTGTGGAAAACTTCCAGTGTGGAAACGTCTTCCACTGACACAGATGAACAACTCGTCTGTAACTTACAGTCTTAAGAGAGTTGTCTGGGACACTGAGAAGTTAAGGGCTTGCCCACTGTCACACAGCTAGCATGTGTCACAGGCAGGATTTGAATTCAGGTCTTCCTGATTCCAAGGCCAGCCCTCTATCCACTACTCCAAGCTGCCTCACATGGTTACTCATACCACAAGAATTTTCAGGGCAACAAGAAGATATATCTTTCAATTCTGGCTCTCGGACTTAATCACTGACCTCATTTCCATCACTTCCCGTCTACTTTCTTCATACTTGTCTTTCCATTCTGAGACCTCTCTTTCCTTGGTGATAATCTAGTATCGAAGGAGGAAATATTAAATGTCAGTGTATGCTCAAGTAAATTTTCATAGAAAAACATACATGGGGAAACAAAAAGGCAAACAGTTAAACATCTCTTGAGAGGAATAGTCTATTCTGACCAAGCTGTACTTCTGATTGGTGAGACAGAGAATAACTAGTTTACATCCTTGGGCAATGCCTAATGACAGAGAAGTGAGATTGAGAATATTTTTTGTCACAAATCCAATTAAATTCCACAGACACATTTCACAGTGATGGTATCTAAGCCCAACAAAACCCAGCTTCCTCAATCATCCTTCTGTTTGCCCATGGTGTCCAAAGTAAGAACTAAATTATCAGAGATGAGGTCACCTTGGCATAGAGATTCTTTGTTTACATGTGGTGGGAGCCAGATTTTTAATGAGGCTTCTGAAGGGCAATCAAAGGGGCCCCTTCTCCAAATCCCACACTGGAAATACCTCTTCTCTAGCGATTCGGAGTGAAGCATCTAAATCCGACTGTTGATAAAGAAGGGCTGGAGGTTTTTCTGACTCGGAGGTCCCAAGGCGAGAGTACAAGGCAGTTTTAGAGATGGGAACATCTGCTGGGAGTGTAGCTTCTCTCTGTGGAATTGTTGTGGATTTAAAAAAAAGTAAACATTAATCATAAGACAAAGAAGATCACATTAATCCAGTTCATGAATGGGTCAATTGTGTGTGTGTGTATTGGAGGGGATAGTGGTGGTTTGGTTTTTTTTTTGGAAATGATGAACACAAAAAACTATGAGAAAATGTGAAGAGTCATGATAATGGATGGGAAAACTGTGTGACACAATCCATGAAAAATCTATCATTGTGCACCTGTGCAGGAAACAATGAAGTTAGATGGGAGTACAGTTTGCCTTTAAATAGACTATATGAGAAGCCTGTTTATCATAGCCATTTATCAGGAATCCAAAAACATTTAAGCAGAACAAGTATGAACAGAGTCATTATCTAACAGGATCCTACTTCTTCAGCATACATAGGATGGAAAAAAGGAGAGGGCAGCAGATGTTGGATTTCATTCTATGTTCTCCTAGTTTATAATGGATGTGTATTTGATCACCTTTGTAAGACTGCCTACATTTCAGTACTATGCGTGCCCCTGTGAGGCTCAGCTTCTAGATCATGTGGCATCAATGAAGTGTTCTCACTGGATAGTCAATCAGTTTGTCCTTAAAAAGGTTAATTTTCCCTACACATTAAAAGGTTGGCTGATTACGACTGGCTATAGCAAAGCTTTCATCATAGATGGGTTTACATGACAAGGAATTGGAAAGTGACTCAGTCGATTACAGTAAATAATTTTTTAAAAGTATCTAAATAATCACGTTATTGGTTTGTTTGTTTTTTTCCTACCAATCAGTTGGATTAAGTTGACTGGGGATCTTTTCAGTATGAGGGCCTCATGGCACCAAGATGGTGATCTTAGAATATTAATGACAGTTCTGTCCTGTAGTGTCCTCTCCCAGTCTCTAATCTTTTATTAAATACTCCTATGACAATGTTGACTGTGAAAGCATGTGAAAGCATGATGCTTTGTGTAGAGTCACGACTGGAACCAGAGACTAGGAGAGCAAATTATGGAAGTAAGGAGGCATATGATTTTCACTGCAAAGAAAAGGATAAACCAACCATATCTCAGTCCCATTCATTAACTTTTAGGTGCTGTTGCTCATTCTGAAGCAGAAAACCTCCACTGCGGCTGCCAGAACTGGAGGAAACAAAAAGAACCAGCCCAATTCTACTCCAAGTAATATTGGCAGGTGTGGTCTCACAGGTTCAATGGGTCTCATTTAATAGAAATACATGCCCTACCCCCTTAGTGATTGTCATACACAAATTTAAAAAAAAACTATTCTGTGATGACACTATATTAGAATATCAAGAAATCAAGAAAAAATATATCATTTAAAGCGCAACAGTCCTAATTTGAGAACCACTGATAAACAGGTCTATGAGCACATAAGGAAGGTGGCATCTGGAGATACTAAAGGATAATTTCTCATTTTGGTTTTTGAAAAAAAAATCAAGAGACATTAGTATTGGCTGAATGATTTCGATGCAAATACAGACTGCCAAGCTTGCTCTCATTACACTGAGGAAAATTTTACTTCATATAGTAAAAATAACAAAACTGAAACAAAAGTTTAATGGATAGGACTGGAGGTATTGAAGCAACTTGTTATGTCTAGTTAGTAATACTCATGCAAGGAAAATAAAGTGCTCGAATTTGGGTTAGAGATGGGCTTCTATTGGTTTGGTTTTACTCTTTTGATTTGGCCAGGAATGCTCAGCTATGAAAAGACTGCCACTTAACATGGAGATGTGACCTAAAACAACTGCTTCTTTATTCAGATGATGGTACCCCTAGACCTCAATCCTTGAAATTACAGAGGTGAATTTGACATTCTAAGCAGCACACAAATATAATCCCTAAAGATGCACTAGTTTGCAAAATATTAAGGCATACTAAGAACTCACTGCTGTATCACTGAGGAGAGCATCACTAAGCTGCTGGGGGGAAATTACAAGTGCTCAAATGTAATACATGTAGAGGTAAACTCCACTTTCCTTAAAATGTTTTTCAATTTATTGAGTATAAAGGAACTTATCTGCCAGAAAACAGCAGATAATAAGACACAGATTGAAGATAAATATGTGAATGAATTACACAAATTTCTAAGCCAAAAAAAACCAAAACAAAACAAACCCCTCTGCATAAGGCTTATCAGGCTCACAGATCTAGAGACGGTGGGGATCTCAGAGATCACCCCGTCCAACTCTCTCATTTTATAGATGAGGAAACTGAGGCACAGGGAGGTAAAGCAAGTTGCCCAAGATCACACCAGGTAATAATAAAGAACAGTGGTAGGATTTGGACCCAGGTCTTCTGACTCCAAAGCCAGTGCTCTTTCCACTATATAATGCTACTTCCCCTTTTAGTAACAAAAAATTCTTTGTCCACATATGCTAATTGATCGTGTTAAACAAGAAGAAGATTAATATGGTAGAATATTAGAATGCTTGAGTTGGAAAGGACCTTAGAGCTCACCTAGTCTAACCCCCTTCTTTTATGGTTGTGAAAACTGAGACCCAGTGAAACAAAGAAACCTGCCAATGGCAATACAATTACAATTATTAAATGAGTTGATCTTGACCAAAAATAAATCAAGCTCCCTGAAGCATAATCTCAAATTAATTGAATTTAAGATATCTTTCTAGTATTATTCTGAACCCAATGGCAGCCAGACACTGATGAACTTTCTAAACAAATGAAAACTAAGCCTGCCGGATACAGTGATTCACTATCACCTTTCACAGCAGCCACCTGGTGTTTTCTGTAAAAGGAGAAATGGTCTCACAACCAATTTGAATGAGTGAATGTGCATCTGTTTGTTAATGAAATGCAGTTGGTGCGCTCCGGTTTCCCTGACCCCAAGGAATTCTCTTTCACTGAAGTTAACAGCTTTGCCTCTCATTTACAGTGTTTTAAGATCAGATTTAGATTAGGCTTTTGCTCACTCAAACAATCCTGAAATTGCCCTTTCAGAGAAACAAAAAAAAGCCAACAGGCCTACAAATCAGGATAATGAAGCACGATACTTCGATGAACAAGCCTGCCTTTGAACAACAAAAAGTTTATGAATCACACATACATTGCGATTGCCAACCTGGCCACAATCAATTGACACTGATGATGTCTACACACCTATTCAACTACCCAAATGAACATATCTCCTGATGTCCTATTGTTTGACAAAATAAATATTTTCTAATTGTACCTGGGAGGCTTAGCAGTGGCTGAATTATTTTCATTAAAAAATTATGTAATGGAAACTTCATTATTATAAAGCATAGATTTGATAGGTTTGTTACTGGTTGTGACAAACTGATGAAGTTTTCTAGATAGGCTTATCCAACAGGTTCAAAAGGCCTTTCACTGAAAGCAAATAGTTTCATTTCCTTCGACATGCTCTTTTTCTTTGTGGGGGCAGAAACTGAGATTTCATCAGTATATGAAAATCTTAGGATGGAATTTATCTCCATCTATGGAAATAGGCAACTTAGCTATCCTAGAAAGTTGTCCGACACCAAGAAATGTAGTGACTTGCCCAGGCTCACACAGCTCACATGTGTCAGAGAATCATAGAATTGCAGAATTAGAGATGGAAGGGATTTAGAGATGATCCAGTCAAATCCCATTATTTTATAGTCCAGGTGCTCCTGAAACCCAGGACTGGCCCTCTAGCAATGAGGCCATGCTGCCTCTCTTTCTCTGCTTCATTAAAAAAAAAATTGTCAGGAAAATGAGAATAGAAAACAGAGTAGTAGGTTCTCGTTGGAATGTTTTATGTACATTAAAATATATATAAAATTATTTTCATGGACTTGACCAAAGATCCAGTAAATTTGTTCTTTGGTATCAGGTAGATAATAAATTTAAGCAGTAAACTGAATTTTTCATTTTTAACATAGTTTCACACAAATATATAATGAGTAGTTGCTGAAGCATCCACATAACACAGGTTGATTTGAAGATGGAGTTTCCAGGTAATATTTCTTTGGAATATCTTCAACATTTTCAGTTTTTAGTGGGGAGGTTTTCCAATACAGGAATCAAATGATTAAAAATGTAAAATGCTTGCCCAACTTAGTGGAATATCCACAATGTATGGGGATTAGCAAACCCTAGTGAGTCTGGAAAGAAATGATGGAGTTTGATCAAAGTTGTCTAGAACTGCCAGGTGTGGGAAATCACTGCATTATATCAGTACTTACACTAGTACTGACCAGGGGAAGGAGCTGCTGTTGTATCTGAAGTGAAAGGCCAGTCATTGGCTCCAATGCCAGCAGAAAGGTGATATAAGGCTTCCCACCTGCTGCACATTCTTATGGTTGCTAGCTCTTTTGACTCTTATTTGTCTTTTGCCTGTCTTCACTGAATCCTGATTCCTATGAATGACACTCTCCTGTCCCTCATGATTCACCATGGTGGAAGTCCTGTCTCAAAGTCAAGGTCTTCCTGTCGATTGTTCCTAATGACTGTCCCTCTACCTCTCCTTACCAGTTTAACACAGCGCCTAATACAGTAGGTGCTTAATAAATACTTGTGGGCTTGACTTGACTGCCTGCCTAACTGGTATCATGGTTCCAGATGGCTCTCCCAAACATCATCCCCACCTTGTCTATCTGTCCTAGGTCTGACAATACCTATTTTGATACTTAGTTTACTTTTTCATTAAGCTGTTCTAAAATTAGACAATAAGAGGACCAAAAGTAGTTGTTCTCCCTACCACCCATCCCATCCCAAATTATTTTTAGGTTTGATTCATAATCGTACTTTAGAGGCACTTTTGGAATATCAAAGTGTTGATCTAAGGGCTGGTATCTAGCCCTTTTCATGATTTGAAATGTGCACATTTCTGTCATCAAGAGAAGAATCTTAGAGGAATAAGCGTCCATCATGGAAAACAAAATATTTCTCCTAATAATATGTTTCTTATCTTGTCTATTCCAGAAACAATCTATTCGTACAATTACCTGGCGATATGCATAATTAGATCTTTTTAATTGAGCTGTCCTGTTCCAGAAAAGCCAGTTGCTTTTAATCAGGATGAGTTAAATGCTTATTTGAAATTTGTCTCCCCCACTGCTAGTATCTCATGCAAACTTGTGCAGAAAATACATTAAGGTTCTGTCTGTATAGGAAGCAAAAGAGCAGGCTGAAAAGTGAAAAGTTCAATGTCAAATATGGTCACAAGGGGGAAAATTAAGGAAGTCTAGCTTCTTTTTTTAAACTGAATTCAATCAAAGCAGATGTTCATAGAGATAAGGATAAAATTCCAACCAGGCATTCTAACTCCTATTGATGTCTCCTAATAGGATGCTTCCTCTTTAATGAAAGACATTTCTTGAAAGACCAACTATGCTCCTATAGCTTAATCTGTGCAGTCTAATGTGGAATACAAATTGGAGCTACTCTACGAAACCATGAGCAATTCACACCATATCATATTTTACGATGACTTACATACACATGACATTTTAGCTGCAAGTGATCCCATTTAAATGTTAAAGACTGAACTGGCAGAATCTAAGTTATGTCAACCTGCAGCTAAAATATGTTTGTAAGAAAAAGAGCAAATAGTATAAGCAGCTGCTGTTTTCTTTCTCAATGCATCAGCACTTTCCAATACATAAATAAGAATTCTGTACACATATGCTACATAGAGGAGATCACAGATCTACTTGCATATGAGCTAAAGACTCAAAGGAATCTTGAGTTTATATAAATTGAGTTACTCTTGGGCTACTCCAGCTTAGGAAATAAAGGACAATTTGTCTTTAAAAGCATGGATTGTTGCAAAAAGTTAAAGCTTTTTAGGGCCCAGAATAATACTACTTGTACTCTCTTTTGAGTCTGTAAGATACTTCTTAAGACCTATTTCTTTGTAGTAATGGAGAAATAGCTCACTGTGTTACAGTCTATTGAGTGGTTCTAATTTTATTCTTTAACCTTATTATTTTTTTTAAATAAATTCAAAAGAAGTTCAAATTCCCGGCAATTTCCACCTAACAACAGCAGATTAAATCATGACTTGAACATGATCTATAGTTCCAAAAAGGTCAGAGATATCTAGCCCCTTCAATATTGATTACAATTAGGAATCAACACTATTTAGGGAAATAGTCATATAAATTCACTTAGGTGAAATAACTCTTTTCAGAGCCAATTCATTCTATCATGGCAAAAAAAAAAAAAAAAGACACCTGTCTGAAGCAGTTTCTCACTGCTTTCCTCAATTTTAGAGTCTCCTATTCCAAAAGAAATTAAGCCAAGTAGGAAGAAGTTGAGGTCAAACCAGTGATTTTTTTTGTTTTGTTGGTAAAAGGAACAAGAAAACATATAGTCATATAGCCAGTAATTATCACTTTAATTTTTTTCCTGGGTCCGATTCTGTCCAGTCTGAACACTAGAAGTCATAAACATTCTCATTAAATTGGAAGTGTTCTCCAAGATGATTCTTCATGAGGACAACACATTCCACTTGCCCATGGACAATGTTTGAACACTGACATTATAATCAAGTAACACATGGTTACCTATTGCTGGCATGTCACGAAAAAGTGGGTAAAATTAAGAATTGCATCATCAGGAACAGAATGGTTTGAACTAGGATGGAAAGAGCACTGTTAGGAGTCAGGAGATTTAGGGTCTGGACTTGGCTGTACCACTGATCCACTGTTTATTCCTGGGCAAGTCACCAAATGTTTCCATGTCTTGGTTTCCCTATCTATAAAATGGTAGTGATAATATCTACTCTAATTTACTGTAAAGATGGAATAAAATAATGAAGTATAGATGTATGATAATTTTTGATGACTTTGTCATCATCATTGTCATCATGATCATTGTAATTATGAAGTCAGTGACAAAAATAACAAAGATTACTACCCTCGAAAGACTGAGTCTCTTTTAGTGATCAAATCTCCATTATTACAATCACTAAACCATATAGAATTTTAGAACTGAGAGGGACAACAGAGATCACCAAATTCAACTTCATCCTTTTAGAGATGAGGAAATCGAGAGAGGTGATATGATTTGCCCATGGTCACAAAGGGCTGAGACTAGAAACTTCTGTCTCTTTAGTCTCAGATTTCAATTGTCTGGGGCCTGAGAGAACCAAACTTTGAGCTTCAAAACTTTAAAATCCAAATAATTAGCCTTCTTTCTCAACAACCGATGGCTATACAATACTATCGAGCAATAAATATGTATTAAGCATCTATTATGCACCAAGTGCACACACGCACACACATACAGTTGGTCAAGAGCAAAATCTAAAACATCAGGACTTAAAATGGCTTTTCATCACCACTAAATTAATGTTGGCATGTAACTGCTGAATAGCACTCTCACAACATATTAGAGGAATCTGGCTAATGCCAAAGAGCTATGCAAACTGCAATGGAATTTAGCTCTTGAGCTTAATCTACAGGGGCTGTGGTTTTTAGGCCACTTCCCAGGACCAATCTCTCATGGTCATATTTGAGGAGTAGCTCCCTCCTCTTGCACGGACATGCTGTTTTGCAGGTTCCCAGCACCACACTTGGGCATCATGGTTAGGAAAGCAGCCTCCTGTTTCGTTACCGGCACATATGACACACCCAGGTAGCATCACATTCCAGGCAGACAGCAGGTACCTTGGTATCCAAGGAACTGAAAGAAGCCAGGGCAATCTGTCTGGCTAGCTTCAGTGCTTCTATCCTCATGATCGCAAACTCTAACTCCTCCTGTTAGATGGTGGCGTTATGAGTAAACCGTGGGAAGAAAAATGCATTAAGACAGGATGTAAATGTTGTTCACATCCAGAGAACGGATGCCACACTTAGACGTGTTGTGATGATAACTCGGATATAACACACAGAGTCAGTGTTCTTTTCAAGAGAAACACCTCAGCAGCCCAGGACAGCAGAAGACTAAATTTTTAAAAACTAAGAATAATGCAGAAGGCTTTCAAATAAATAACTGTCAGGAAACATAAGCATTATACTGATGAAGATAAGATGCTTTTTTTCAAATTTTCTACTTTTGTGAAGTTTTAGGTTGTTTTTGTTCCTTTTCCTACATGCCCTAAAGTACATTTGTGATATAAAGTTTTCCAAAAATTTCAATTAATAAAGCCGTATCTCTCACACTGTTCTCATAATCTCTTGAGATGTGCTCATTAAGAGAGTCCTCTCACATAGAGGAGAGCAATTCAAATTGCCAACTTCAAATTAGATGCTAGATAATTATTTTGGTTCCAGATGTTGCACCATGTCCAGATGTTACTGGGAGTCAGTGGGAGTCAGAGAAATTCTTGTGTATATAAATAGCTCACTCAAAGGTGATTTAATACAGTCTGTTCAGTGAATAAATGACTAGAAATGCCTAGAGATATTGAACGACCTCTGAAAAATGAAGCCTTAAGCCCCATTTCCAGATTTTGAAGGAATCATCTTGTTAAGAATATAATCACAACACTCATATCATTTTGACATCTTTAGGGAAAAAATTACATAGCTGACTATGAAGAAAAGATTTTTATTCGGAAGACTTTTGGCCATCCCCACCTCCTCTTGGCCCCCCCTTTCACTCCCATTTAAATCATAGCTTGGTTTGGTTTATATAAAAGGGATTTCGTTCTCTACTGAGGTGTGATAAACTTTAGAAAGGAACACTGACAGATTACACCCGGACTACAAACCTGAAGTTTCTGAGCAAATACTGGGGGGTTCTTTTCTGCTAAATCAGGCTCTAGATATTCAAGCGCATCACATATTGAGGTTTGATGAGATATCCTATTAAGAAGAGCTTCAGCAGAGACATAGGAATCTTCAGGAGCTGTCTACATGGTAAGGAGGATACAGAACACAAAATAGAGGAGAGAAAGAGGAACATCAAGTCTAGGTGAGCATCATCTACTGGCCTGACATTTTTGGTTTCATGCTAAAGAAATTACCAAATTTAACGTCAATTCTTTAAGAGCAATAGGTGTTTTGAGATTAATTTGGCAGTGGGGAGAAATAGCTGCTATTTGAACTGCTTTGACAGCCAACACCCTCCCTCTGATAGCCCATTAGTAAAATAAAAACAAAAACCAATATGCTCTTTGATTACTGGCTACAAACTGGATGGAGGCAGTTTAGAGCTGGAGACGGGAAAGGAAGTGATCCATTTGTTGGCATTTCAAACCACAAGTAATAAACATATAAGCATTATCACCAAAGTAAGTGAGATTTAGCTAGAAAGGTAGACGTATTTAAAGACAAGAATATATGTTTTCAAATAATAATAAAAATAATAGCCGGTATTTATATAGGGCTTCAAGGTCTGTAAAGTGCTTTACAAATCGTATCTCATTTTATTTTCACAACAATCCTAGGAGGTAGTGCTACTGTTATCCCCACTTTACAATGAGGAAATTGAGGCAGGAAGAGATTAAGTGACTTTTCCATGGTCACACAGCTAGTAAGTATCTGAAGTCAGATTTGAACTCTGACTTCAGGTCTTCCTGATTCAAGGTCCAGCACTGTATCCACCTAGATGCCTCATTCAAGAGGGTAGGTGGTCATTAAATAGGAAAGTCAACTTTTCATGAACAAATCTATTCAGTGCAATAAAAGTAAAACATTAAATCTTGAAGGATACTCTGTTTCCAGTATGTGTATATGTGTGTGTATAGACATACATACATACATATATATACATATACTCACAACAGGAAACAGAGTATATATACATATACACACATACTGGAAACAGTATCCTTCAAGATTTAATATTTTACTCTTATATACTTATGTGTGTGTATATATGTATATGCGTGTGTGTATCTATATACATACACACACAATGGGTGTTACACAGGGATTTGAACCAATAGATAAAAACTTTTCTGATACTTAAGAAAGCCTATGGGTAGTAGGAAGAGAATAGACTTTTCTGTGTCAAGTTTCAAACTGTATTTTACCACCACAGTTATATTTGAGCTCTAAGTTGTCAGTATGTGAAAGGAGAAAAGAATCTTTTTTTATGTGGGTCCTAAAGAAATTCCTAAATGAATCAAATGGGGTCCCAGGCCCAGTACAACCTACTGTTCACCTCAAAAGAAGACTGTCTTTCTTCTCTAGCACACCTGTTAATGTGCTAAACTACCACCATAAAGGATGCTAGGAAAAGCAAAAGATCAGGAGATGAATAGCCCAGGTGACAATCCCACCATAAGGACTCAGAAAAGAAAGCAAAAACATCATTATGGCAAATAAAGCAAAGAAAATTTTAAAATAAAATAGATTTACTTCTAGAACATTCTTCTCTCCAGAGGTAATGTATTAGAGAGATATGACAGAATATTGTTTGTAGGCTTTGGAACTCACTCTCTACTAATTTTTGGGGGGTGTAGCTTGAGATGTTGTTTTTAGTCCATTGGATGCCTATGCATTTAGGGGGTCTGATTATCTTGGGCCTAAATCTTCAGCTGTTCTTTGGGCTTATTAGGTCCCCACTTACTCTTTCGAGAGCATCTGAAGTCGTTCCTAAGCCCATGGACTCTTTTTGGTTTGACTTCTCTGAAGCCTGTAAGTGGGTCTCTGGGTTCGGAGCCAGGACTCGTGAGACTGGATGCTGGATTTTCATCCCAGCGTTCACCAGAGCTTCCGTTTCTTCAAAACTCGACCTGAGGAGAAAAAAAATGTCCCTCATCTTTTCCTTTAGAAATCCCTTCAAAATCAGAGTGACAATAATCTATCACTTAGGCCTCCCCCAAGAACACTTAAGTTCCAAGCATATTCTTCTTGAATAAGATGGTAGAAGGATACTGGTAGTCCCTGCAGTTTGGTACAAATTGCACCATGCATCATGCATATGTACATGGTGGGACTAAGGGAGGGGAAGATCCTATCTATACCTCTAAGGTGCTTTTAAAACATCAAACAAGGGTTACGGGAGCCACCAGGCAGCTTCTATATCTATTCTGGCCAGCTCTTTTTCTTAAAGATCACTCTCACATAAAGGAGGAAGGACAGTTCAAGAAACCATGAGGGTGGCAGCAGGGAGACACTGGTGGGTCCAATCTCTACCTCCAGAGAGAACAAAGGAAGAGCAGGAGAGTGTCCAAATTTGAAACTGAGACCCTGGGTCTATCCAGAAATATACATTACTTAGATCAGAACATAAACTTGGGCCCATATAACTAAAACAAAATTAAAAGGGAGAAAAAAGTCACACATATGTTTCTTTTAAGAGATTTAGTCTTAGTTCAAATCGTGCTCACTCTCAGTGTTGGAATTTGCTTATCAGATCTAGGTTAGGCTGGAATAGGGATTGAGAGGTCAATAATACAGGACTACCTCATTTTGTGGTTGTTGAGTTTTCAGTTATAGCTGATTCTTTGTGACGTCATTTGGTGTTTTCTTAGCAAAGATACTAGAGTGGTTTGCCATTTCCTTCTCTAGCTGATTTTATATATGAAGAAACTAAGGCAAACAGGGTTAAGTAACTTGCCTAGGGTCACACAGCTATTAAGTGTCTGAGGTCAGATTTCAATTCAGGAAGATGAGTCTTCCCAATTCCAGGCCCAGTGCTCTATTCATTGTGCTACCTAGCTGCCCTACCACCTCATTAGGAAACAATAAAATAGAAGGAAGTATATAAAGACAATAGAACAGGTTTTTGATCTCTGGCACGCTTTAAATTATAATTCTTAAAGATTACTTAAACCTTGCCATCTACTTTGCATTTGAACTCTCCCATAGATGGTTTCTTCCCAAGTAAAATGTAAGCTTCCTGAGAACAGGATCAGGCTTGCTTTTCTATCAGTATGCTTATCAAAAGGCAAGGCACATAGAAAGCACTTAATACTTTTTCATTCATGCATTAAAGTAGAAAATATTTTAGTATTATAGGCTCTTTATGGGAATAATATACCCTGAACATGGAGTTGGGGAATCAGATAAACGAACTGGAGGAGATTTGACTGGACTCTCCTGAGGGGCATCAAACATAAGATACAGAGATTGTTTCTTCGGGGTGCCATCATCATGCTGTAAAAAGGAAGGAAATTAATTCTAATTATTAAATGAGCACAATCTGGATAGAATCAATGTGACAAAGCAACTTGGTAACAGACAAGAGCACATTATTCTCTAAGACAAATCACTTTTTAATATAAAGTCTTTACTACTTTTGTCGAGCAACCAAATGATTATGACAAACAATAATTGGATCTTAAGTCAAAAGGTTAATACAGCCAATATCTATATGATTCTAGTCAATTTCTCTGCAAAACTGATTCATACGCAGTGTACTACAGTAGGACTTTTTAGAGTCAACTCCTCTATGGGTCAGCCCAGTTGAGGGCTGGCTAACTCTTCAGAGGGGACAGAGGAAGCAAAGGTAGTAGTGATAACAGATACTTGCAGGTTCCAATTTTACAGAAATATCATCATGTCTCTATCCCTAAATGTACACACACACCATGGCCCGTAGAAAGCACTAAAGGAGTCGAGTACGTAGGAGAATAGTGGGCCAAGAGGCACAGATTCATTAAGTAAACAAGCTATGATAAAACAGGGTGTAGGCCCATACACAAACAAAAGTAAACCAAGGAATTCATACAAAACCACAAGCTAGGCCCACCATCCCAAGTCATAAAGGTCAAACACAGGGGAGTACTATATCTATTGTAATGTACTCTCAGGGTTCAAAAGTCATGGGTCAAGAGTTTTACTAGAGCAAGCACCCTGGGCTCAGACAACCACTTGTAGGGTGAAGTGGTCTGGCACTTGAGCCAGCCAACTGCATCTACAACATGTTTTTGTAATAGTAAGATGGAAGACAAAGTACCAAAGGCCCTTAGAAATTATAGTTTGATGCAAGCCAGAGGAGTTGGGAGTTAACTAAAGGTCAGAAGGTGATAAAGGGCTTTCAGTCTACCATCTTTAATAATAATAATAATAACAATGATAATAATAGCTAATAACTATGTTGTTAGCTAGGTGGCATGGGCAGTGAGGTGGTGCAGTGGATAGAGCGTTGGGCTTGGGATCATAAAGACTCCTCTTCCTGAGTTGAAATCTGGCCTCAGACACTTAGTAGCTGTGTGATGGGCAAGTCACTTAACCCTGTTTTCCTCAGTTTCCTCTTCTGTAAAATGAGCTAAAGAAAGAAATGGCAAACCATTCCAGTATCTTTACCAAGAAAACCCCAAATGGGGTCACGGAGAGTCAGGTACCACTGATATGACTCAATAACAACAAAACAATTATGTAGAACTTACTATGTGTCAAGCACTGTGCTAAATGCTTAACAATTATTATATCATTTGCTTGTCACAACAACCCTGGGCTATTATTATCCCCATTTGACAGATGAGGAAACTGAGGCAAACAGAGATTAAATGACTGGTCCAGGGTCACACAGCTATTAAGTGTCAGGCTGGATTTGAATTCAGGTCCTCCTGACTCCAAATCCAAGGCTTTATGCACTGTGCCACCAGCTGCCCTTTTAAGGCTCATATCCCTGAGAATTGTTTGTATTTTAAATTGCTTATATCTGTTAAACTGAAAGTTCTGTAACAACAGAGATTCTCCTTTCTTTAAACCCTGTACTTTCTTCAGTGTCTATACCAGTACTCTGCACACAATAGACATTTATTTAATGTCAATAATAATGATAGCCAATATTTCTGTAGCACTTTAAGGTTTTCAAAGCACTTTACAAGTATTATCTCATTTGACCCTCACAGTGACCCAGGGAGGTAGGTACTATTATTATCCCCATTTTAAAGATGAGGAAACTGAGGCAGACAAAGTTTAACTGACTTGCTAGGGTCAAACAGTTAGTATGTGTCAGGCTGGTTTCTTGACTTCAGGCCCAGTGTCCTACCTACTGTGCCACCTAGCTGCCCTGAAGAACCCACTGTCACCTACAAACAAGGATGAAACAGCAGAATGGATTCTATTGGAGGGGTTTTTTGTCTGTTTGTTTTAAATAAAACATTTCTCTTCTCAGAAAGCTCAAACTTTAATTTCACGGAGTCAATCACTCCAGAATCAAGTGAAGTGGTTCTGTAGAAGAGACTGGCCATAGTTAATTATTTGTTTCTTAGATTACTTTTATTCATGTTGGCTATTAATGCAGACAACAAACCCTTGATTTTCCATTAGCATGCTTTTATTCTGGCTGTAATAAGCGAAACACACTCAGTCTACCATTTGCTCTTGATTCTTATGTTCTCATAACATTTACAGTATAGAACAGTACATAGAAGCATAATAACAGATAAAACAATTACAAGGTGAAAGAACTTACAGGTAAGTTGGAGCCGATTTTCTCCATATATTCTATTTCATAAGAGTTTCTATAATCCAGCTCTGCAAGAATAACAAAGACTAATGTCAAGGATCATTGAAAAAAAGACCAGTGTGCACTGTAGTTGGCCTGTACTCATAAACAATGATCTGCATGGTGGGGATAAGTCTGTTTTTAAAGGGGTCCCACATGCCCCCCAGTTTTAGCACTGGAGCCTTTATTATAACTGCAAGCACACAATGACGATTCACATATGCATCCAGCTTTTTTGAAACTATGGAATTTCCTTTCCTTGATATACTTAGAAATAGCACAATTGACCCTTCTCAGTGCTCTCTGATGTACCCCTATTTAAGGGTAGGCATGGAACTTTAAGATCTAGATTTCTCTAACTTCTTCAAGGCTCCCTCAAATGATAAATGGTGATTTGTGTCAATAGAAAAGACAGGAATTCCTTAGTTGAATGAAGAACATTGACCTTGTATCTCTAGACTACCTTCTGTTCAATTTCAAATTTATTTGAAGTTAAGCTAAGAGATTTTAGGAATGTGTAAGATTGCCAGAGCCCTAAGACAGATAATTATCTGTAATAGAAGGCTTTGATTTTCCTTAGAGAATTAAGGATTGATAAGAAAAATCCTAATCTTAGCTGGGGGCACTAATCTTGTCTTTTGTTAGCTAGGTATGGTGGCTTTGACTAAGGGTTTTCAGCTTAACTTTGTCAGGGAGAAGATTTAGCCACTATACCCTAGCTGAGATGGCTGTCCTGGCCCTAAAGGAATGAATGTACCATTGGATATTATAAAAAAAAAAAGTACAGTGCAGCAATATGCCCAGTGAGGAGCAGGCCCAGCAGAGATACCATGCCTAAAGAAGAGTAGCCCCAGAGACCCCAGCGGAGCAATTCACCCAAACAAGAGCAGGCACAGTAGTTCAATAGAGCAGTGAGCCAAGTGAGGAGCAGATCCAGAAAGTCCAGTGAAGGAATACACCCAGCAGAGGTCCCACACTGAGTAAGATACAGAGCTGGCAAGAGCAATGTGATAACATCACCAGAAGACATCAGAGTTCCTTCAGTGAAGGACTCCTCCACATGCATTCCTCTTTATCTGGACCTCTTGCATGTAATCTCTATTTATAATCACTTTCCTCACTTATGGTGTATGTATTTATGGAAGACTGTGCCCTATGCTAACAGAGAAAGGTTCAATCACAAAATCTTTTTAATATCCAACTTTATTAAGTGTTTTTGCTTTGAACTAATTGTGTCTTCTGGCAGATGAGACAAAAAGTAAAACATGTTGGTGGGGGCTTGTAAGCTATCAGTTTGAGTATATATATAGAACTACTAAATGATACCAGAATAGTTATTCTGGATGCTCTACATGGGTATTGCAGGTACTACAATAACATTACTAATATCACATTTATGTAGATTTTTAACATTTATAGTATAATTTCTTCATAATAGTTTTTATAGGATAGGGAGTACAAATATTATGGTATTCACTTTACAGATAAAGAATGGAAGATCAAAGAGGTTAAGTGAGATACACACACACACACACACACACACACACACACACACACACACACAGAGTAAGCACTGGGGTCAGGACTTGAACCCAGGTCTCCTGAGCCAATTTTTCCACCATACTACACAGCTTTATGACCTTAAATATCATTTGAAACATTTTTACAATTCATTAAATTGTTTTAGAGTTGGTCCCATTCATCTTTTTTTTTGGATGTGGACTCAATTTCCAAACCTTCCAAGATAGTATCATTATTATTTTTTTTTGGTGAGGCAATTGGGGTTAAGTGACTTGCCCAGAGTCACACAGCTAGTAAGTGTTATGTGTCTGAGGCCAAATTTGAACTCAGGTCGACCTGACTTCAGGGTCAGTGCTCTATCCACTGTACCACCTCGCTGTCCTCCCCCACCCCAGATAATTTTTAATATAGAATTAACCAGACATTAAAGAAGAATCCTCAAACATTTTTACCTGAGATGTATAATTGCAACCTATGTCAACTTCTTGGTCTTAATAAATGAATCATTTTTGTTTATGGAACCAGTCTAAAATCCTCAGCATCAACACTTCAGGGTAATTTCTCAATAAATCCTTTAATTTCTATTTATTAGTTCTTGGGAATATAATTTTTAAAATAAAATATTACTTAATGTGATTGTTAAAACAAGATTTTCTCTTGTTTGTTGTAAAGAGTCAATAAATTAGGATACCAAAAGGTGTCAGCAGCTGTTAGAATCTATGTCAAATTCTTTTTGCTTTAAGGATCCAATTCTTCCTGAGAATAAAGATGATTTTTGTGAAATAATGGAACCTAAAAACAGCTTCCTTCTTCTTGTAGGCCTTAATCATTATTGATTTGTATTTCTTGGTGAGTCACTTAGGGAAAAAAGTAATGGAGAATTAAACTAGCTGGTGTCTAACTTCCTTTCTAGCTCTACTATTCTACCATTCTATAATAAACACATGTATAATTGGTATTGGTCAATAAGAAAAAGATTATGAGCATTATTTGCTATAATCCAATACCAAGGTTTGTCCAATACATAAAGCACAGAAGTCTATGTTATATGAGCACTTCCAGTCCAATCACTTCTTTTAAGGTGGTGGGTAGAATAAATGAATCAGCCTGTGTCCATCCCCATGGTGTTGTTAGTGTGACTCTGGAAATGAATGCCTTTAATTATTCAAAAGCAATAATCCAGCTCCTCTCACCGCAGCTGAGAACATGCATACTAAATGTGACCAAAAACAAGGAAATAAAAGTATTTTCCAAGAGATTTCTCTTCTGGTTCTACTCTTTTACCCAACTTCTAAATTTTATTCCTAGCCACTGGACCTGAGACAAGTTTCAGATCTCTCTCATCTGGTTAATTTCTCCTGTACAACTGCCCAATTTCATCAGTTTCCTCCCCACCCCAGGAGATGTTAGTTCAAACATAGGGCATTTGGATTAATAATAATGTGCTGTTGGCTGAGAGAAAGCCTAATTTTATATATGAGCATCCATTCTAGTTATGATTGGACTTCCCCATGGATCTAAAACATTTGTGTATCTATGACTCATTTTAGAAAACTAGCTATCTTAGGTCTCCTATTTATAATTTCAGAATAGTGATTACATCCATGTCCAAAGTGCCTTGTACACAGTAGTCTGAGTAGGGAAATGTTTGTTGAACTGATGAGCCAAGTTAAGACTCCCAGAATATGAGTTGAAAGATGAGGCAGCTCTTCTATTTAATAGTGCTCTTTCCATGACCTTGAGGAAATATCTCAACTGACTTGATATCTGTATCTTAGTGGCACCTCAATAATCATCAAAGGGAAGAGGAACCATGCCATACACTGATCAACCCCAAGACAGCATTTGAGTAATCACTATGAATTCCAGGGTGCTGAGGAACCTTAACCTGACTTTCTACAAACACCAAAAACTCTTATCTCATTGCAGGAATAATCCAGCTTTGTTAAATATGGATGTTTCAATATTAATTATGCATGCTTAAAGATGAGAAAAGGAAAAGGAGGTGAGAAGTCATTTCAAACAAGTCCCTTCAGTTAATTCCTCACAGGATTTTTGATTAGTGAAAAGTTGACTCCATAGAGTTTGGAGGTCATGACTAAACTGCCTCTGTGTAACAACTCCAGAGTCATGGTGGAATCTTTAGCACTATGGGGAGAAGAAAGAGCCCAGCAGAGGACTTTTAGAAGAAAGCTCCATGATGATTCTTTACCTTTCTTTTATTAAAAGACTCTTAGGATTATTAGACAAAGGCTTGGGATAGTGAAAAATTATCAATTCTGGTTTCTGGATGGTTTACATTAAGGAAGAGGGAGAGACTAGATCAGTGTTTCCTTACTCCCGTTCTATAGAATCCACAGCAAATTTTCACCATTTTGGAAAATTTTTGTTAACCCTACTTTAGGACTCTAAGACTACGGGTTTGGTTTAACCCACTTTATGGGTTTTCATTTTACAGAGGCAGAAACTAAGGTTCAGCGTGCTGAAGTGACTTGTACAAAGTCACACAGATAGCAAATGGGAGAGCCAGTCTTCAAGCCAAGTCCTCAGACTCCAAATTCAGAACTCAAGTGTACCACACTCTCTTTTTATAGATTTTATAGATGAGAGAGGTGAAGTCTAAAGAGATTAAGTGATGGGGGCAGCCAGGTGGCGCAGTGGATAGAGCACCGGCCCTGAAGTCAGGAGGACCCGAGTTCAAATCCGGCCTCAGACCAAACACTTGACATTTACTAGCTGTGTGACCCTGGGCAAGTCACTTAACCCCAATTGCCTAAGGAAAAAAAAAAAAAGAGAGAGATTAAGTGATGACCCAAGGTCACATCGGTGGTAGGCAGCAGAGCCAAGAGCTGAACCCAGGTCTTCTGACTCCCAAGCCAGTATTATTTCCACTGTAATAAATCTTCTTCTACCCCCTTGTTCCCCTCTGAGCTAATATGGGAAAAGTGGTATGCTCCACAGTGTATTTGGGGTTGGGAAACACTGAAATGGAGGCATCTCCAAGTCCTTTCTAGGTTTGGGATTCTAAGTATTCCTGATCTTTGATTAAAAAAAAAAAAGATTTAAAAGACACATTTACAGGGTCTCATTGAAATGGAAGTAGACTCCATGATCATATAAGATTCTCCCTCAAAAAATCATTGGTATTTATTTGCTTGGCCCTGAAGGTCTCTCACTTTCCTTCTTCATTTCACTAGCTTCTGTGACGTTTAACTTCAACACAGATTGATTGATGCACTCTAGAAATCCCTGATCATAGCACCAATCTTCAAGCAGATACAAACGGATGATTAAATTACCAGTATATGGTCATATATCTGGTGTTGCTGGGATATACCTGATTATATCTCCAAGTTTCACAAACTTACCATTTCATCTTCTGCTTCTATACACTTACACAAGCTATCCCTCACTCCTGGGATGTATTCCCTATTCACCTTTACTTCTTAGAATCATTAGTATGCTTTGAGGCTCATCTCAGGTGTCACCTCCCGTTCAAGGCTTTTCCCAATTCTTTTTTTTTTTTTTTTTGGTGAGGCAATTGAGGTGAAGTGACTTGCCCAGAGTCACACAGCTAAGTGAGTGTTATGTGTCTGAGGCCGGATTTGAACTCAGGTCCTCCTGACTCCAGGGCCAGTGCTCTAGCTGCCCCTCTTTTCCTAATTCTTGCAGTTATTGTTGTTCTTCCTCCCTGCTCTCTCCCTCTTCCTCCATCTCTTTCTCTCTATTTTCTCTCCTTTTTCTCTCCATTTTCTCTCCTCTCCCCTGCCCCCTCTCACTTATCTGTGTCTCTGTGTCCACCTTCTCGCATGAGGTTTTGTACATGCTAAGCACTTAATGAATGTTGTTTGAATTAAATTTATGTAAGCATAGAGGATGATCCAGTAAAGAGTTCCAGATCCAGTTTTATCCATCATTTTGGTGAAAACACATGTAACATCCCCAAAGTAGCCTACAATGGTCAAGGCATCATCAGATCATAGATTTAAAACTAGAAGGCATCAACTCCCTCATTTTCTAGATGAGGAGTGAGGCCTATAGAGATAAAGTGACCTGGCCTAGAAAATGGCAGGGCTGGGATGTGAAGCAAGGTCCTCTGATTGTAAATCCAGTATCCTTTCCCTGTCCTATGATATATCCTAAAGATGTAATTATTTTCATCCAATCAGGCAGCAAATTACAACAGACTGCCAATTTATTCACTATTAGTACTTCACAATCATATAAATGGACAACTTTCAACTACACTGCCCAGCACAAACACTTACATATTGGGAGTATTTTGTTTTTGTGGCTGCTGATGCTAGAAATGAATGGTTGTCACATCGGTCACAGCTGGAGTGCATTTATTAAAATGGTGGGAGGTGAAGATGAGTTTCAGTAGCCACGGTTTAACAACCTCTTCAGCTTTAAATCTACTATCCTATAAACTTCTGATAGAAGGCTTTTCCCCCTCTTAAAAAAGTGTATGTGTTTGATTCCAGCTGATAAAACTCAAACACAAAACACACACATCAGGGTTAGCTTGCAGATCTGCTAAAACCTGGTTGCAACTGCAGAAGAATAAAAATGATATTGAAATGCTTTTCTATATTTGTTTAAAGTTGTCTGAGGGATGAGAACGCTTAACAAATAGCAAACCCTAGGTAATAATGAACCAGCAGAAAATTCCTTAACAGGTGCCACTGAAAATGTCAAAATGGTCATGTGTACCTGCTGATATGACAGTGTCCTTTGTTCCTGAGATTAACAACCTTTTCTCTGCCCTGACACCTAACTCCATTAAGTGGCCAAGTGCTCTCCATCTGCTAAGGATAATTAATCTATGGAGTTGACAGTAAGCTCTCTCCTTCAATTGTAGAGGAAGATGGTGTTCTGTTGATGACGTATTCCAAATCTGGACGTAGTAAGGATGAGGAAGTCAGTTTTTGCTAAGCAACCACCAAAATGAAGAGGGGAAAGAAATTCCACACTCTTATGTGAAGTACCAGGCCAAATGAAAGCCCAAGGTGGCAAAATCTGGGGAGTCTGCTCTTTGTCAAGCTCCATAAAGACAGCTTTCAGAGACATTCACATAAGTATAGAGAAATGTGTTAAGTGACTTACAGAGGAAATTCTTTTGTATAATTCAGAGATTTCCCACAGTAAAAACCAAACTACCAAGGGGAAGCCCAGTTATTTAAGTAATCTCAAGAGGAAGCATTGTGTGATATAATTACTATTATCTCGATTTTTTGGAACATCACACCACTCAGCACATAAGCATGGTATGGTCATTAGCATTTAATTAGAATCTTGGTACTCTTTCTATTATTAGCAAAGGAGTTGGAAGGAATGCCTTCAAATGGAATAAAAATTCAAGTTTCAATACCACTGTAAGGTTCTTAACAATAATGCTCTCCTTTCTGGTACTAATTTCCAGATGGATTTTGAAATCATTTTCTAACCAAATGTTACCATTGGGGCAGTTCTTGTGTTATAAACAATAATGAGAAGTTAAAACCACCATGGAAAAAAATAGATTACCATATAACTCAATGGGCTTGTAATGTGTTAGAAGTTTAATAACATGATCAAATGATACATTTGTAAAGGGCTTAACACAGTGCCTGGCACATAGTAGGTGCTTAATAAAATACTTGGTCCATTCTCCCTTAATAAATCCAGGGGTGAAAGAGGTCTCTAGTAAGGATCTGGGAAAATCTTCTTTAAGAGTAATTAGTTCATATTTTAACAGATTTCTGACAGTCCTTTTTAAACTGGCAGAACTGTGACTTTGCCTCAGGGAACTGAATTCTCAGGGGCAGAAAAATTTAACACGCACATTCCCTTAGTAGCCTAAAAAGTCAGTATAATAATTTATCCCCCCCCACCTGCTTAAATGAATTTGTCTTACTATTTCTTTTATTATTTTCACATCATGAATTACAAAATTGATTTTTTAGGATATGATTCATGAAACCAGGGAAGAGTATCAAAATTGCTAGTTGCAGGTCTAGCTTTCAATAATGGATCACTATGGTCAAAGATTTCATCACTCCAGTCTACTAAACTGGGCTAGGTTTCAAACAGACGTCACAATCTATGTATTACTAGGACCATATTCAGATGCTCTCCATCTTGGTCAGACTTGGCAAAACTTTCATTCTAATGACCTAGCCTTGGCCAATCAAAGGTCACCTTTATACTTTTGTGAGGCATCAGGGTAGGAATAATACCCTTAAAAAGAATAATGATGACACCTTCTATATATATATATATATATACATATATATCCAACCAGACACACATATCTAGAAGCCTTTATTAAGTGCCTACTATGTGCCAGGTACTCTGCTAAGTGCTAGAAAAAGATATATATGTATGTATGTATGTATGTATGTGTATACACACACACACACACACACACACATACATATATATATAAATATATATTTGGTCCAGAGCTGTGATTTCATTAATATAGGGAACTCTTCATGTAGAAGCTCCCTTCCTTGATACAGATCAGCAACTCATTTATGTCTTAGAGAGTTATCTGGGCCACTGAGTTTAAGTAGCTTGACTATGGTCATATAGATAGTAAGTGTCAGACATAAGACTTAAACCCAGGTCTTCCTGGCTGGCCCTCTATACACTAGGCCACATTTCAAGATATGTATTACTATTCCTGTTTTATAGATAAGGAAATTAAGTCTCAGAGAAATTAATTAAGATACAATCACACATAGTTAGCTATGCCAGTATGGAACTCTCCTAAATTTTGAAAATCTGTGTCTCCAACTGGATATGTAGATATACTTTTTATTCCCTTTGGTACACTTGATGCTCATTTGAAATTAATTTTCCTTATAATCCACAAAATTAGGAAAGAGACCTGAAATCTAGGAATTTAAGAGGAAGTTGGAAAGGGCTTCCTTTTCCAAAGGATTTCCTCTGTTGTTATCAAGTATGTTTAGATTCATGCCTGGTGTGGGTTTTCAATTGTGAAGTCTGACCAGGTAATCTCAGCCTTCTTGGCTTACACACCTCAGCAGCCATGGGGGTCATTTGGAAATGCCAGGAAGCTCAGCAACACCGCCAGCTCTTTTTAGGCTGAGCCCTTCACAATCACCAGCAATGCATACAAAGAGAAGCAAAGCTCGTATCAGTTGCTGGGCTCCACCGGCCATGGTGGAATGTAGCGGTTACAGCTTTAAAAAAAGCCACCCATTATACCAAAGTGCAACTTTTGTCTCCAGGGCTCAGAAAGAACATGCAAAATGGCGGCCCAAATTACCTGGCCTCTGATTTTCTTTATGGTCCTTCATTGCCTTTTGCTCTTTTGGAGCAAGTTTTTCCAGGTTGGGGTTGGGGTTCAAATGGCCATTAATTTGCTTACCCTCTGTAGGAGAATTGAATTTGGTCTCATTTACAAAAGTTGACAAGTCAGAGGGCTGAGGGTAATCTTGCTTGTCCGAATCTAGTTCCACTGTCATACAAGTCCATTTCTGATTGGTCACTGCTAGCTTTTCCTCATCTGTTGCATGGACCACAGTAGAGATCACTGGGGGTGTTTCTGGCGTAGGCAGTGGAGTGGGATCCTGTGAAGTGCAAATAATCACCATTTTTTATTCATTCTGTTTCCCAGTCAAGAATGTCCTTTCCATCCCAGAGCTATGGGTTGAATCCTTCCATGATACATTAGCCACATTTAAATTCTTAAATTCTCCTTCCTCAATTTTTCTGACTGTTTTTTGCAGAGTATAAATCCTGATCAAAGGTCACCATTTCAGTAAAGTAAATAGACCCCATGTCATCGTAAGTTGAAATTGCCAAGCTCTTCACTGTTATTAAGGATATTATATAACTTTGAAAGCGGCTTTCTTAACTTTGTGGAGGTAGAATTTGCTTGTTTCCACTACCCACAGGAAACCTCAAATAATGCTTTAACAAATTATATACTTGTAAGACATCAACTTCCTCTGTTATTGCTAAAAGCAAACACAAAAATACAATGGTAAGTCATAGGATAATAGCTTTAGAGCTGAAAGGGACCTTCTAATCTAGCTCCCTCATTTGACAGATATGAAAATGGAGGCTGAGAAAGGCCAAGTGATCTGCCCAGGGTCCTATAAGTAGCAAGCAGAATGAGTAGGATTCAAACTCAGCTCCTCCCACTCTGAATCCAGGGCTCTTTCCTCTATACCATTATGCCTTAGAGAGCCAAGGGGATTTATGTTTCTTGAGAATATGATAGTCAGGAGGTAGAAACTCAAATAATGAGTATCTAAAGTGTAAGAAAATGAGCTACAACCCCACATTTCTTTAAGAAATTGCTTCTTTGCTCTCCCATGAAAGCACTGTTATGTGTTTTGATGCAAAAGAAACTGTGGTTAACTGTACAACTAAAGTCTTCCTAGAGATTCCCCTAAGCAGTCTTGAGCAGAGGGGTCAGACATATAGTCCTTCCCTAACCAGATTAAGATGTAACTGGGAAATGTTTAACAAAATAAATAAAAATACTATATGATATGGATAATGTTAATCTGTGGTCTTCTAAGTCAATATGAGGGGCCTGCAAGGATCTGTTTCTACTTAAGTTTGACACCACTGGTCTAAAAGTTTTCTTCTCTTTCCACAGATCACTATTATTCAAATACTCACAGTACATTCCCTTGTCTAGTCTGACCTTCACAAGTGAGAGATTTTCAAGTACTTCAAAGACTAACTGGTCAGAATAGAATATAACAAAATAGACTGCACCTGTTCCTCCAGAGGCCCAAGTAAAGTTTTCTGAAACTATCTGCTTATTCCCCGAAAGACTGATCTTCCATAATTAGAATGGACCTAAATAAAGTAAAGGGATGAGACATGAATAGAAATTGTTGTACTGTGAGCTAGAATGAAGTAAGTGGAGGGGACAGGTCAAAGAGGAAGAGGCAAGAAAGAGACAGGGATGGAAGGACCCCTTCTAGCTGTGAAATCTTGAAGGCATCCCCAGGGATTAATTCTTAAGAGCCTACACATCTGAACTGGGCGATAAAAGAAGGGAAAGATTTCAACAGTCAGAAATGTGGAGGGTCAGAGTACAGGTATAATACAAAAATGCACAGAGGCCAGAGAAGGAAGGGCAAAATTAGAAAATGGTTAGGAGTCCATAAAGGGGAGTAGTGAAGGCCTTGAATGTCAGAGTCAGGGTTTGTATTATTTCCTGTGTGCAGTAGGTAGGTAGCCAGAGAAGGTTTCTCAATAGAAGAGTGGTGGACTTGTGGATTATGAAGATTACAATGGCAGTGATGAAGGATATACTGGAGAAAGGAGAGATGGAAGGTAGGGAGAGCAATCAGGAGAGTAGTAAAACAGTCCAGAAAAGAAGCAGGTAATTGGGGCTTAAATGAGAGTGAAGGCAGCAGAATTGTGGGTCAAGGGATGGAAAGGAAAGATATCGCGTAGGCAGAATCTGTAAGGCATGGCAACTAACTGGCAAAGAAGCAAATTTCCGCTCAATTAAAAGAAAACCTCCCTAATATTGAAAATTATCCAGAAGTAAAATAGCTGGCCTTGAGACAAGGAGTGGGTGGCCGTACTACTGGAAGTCTGTAACAAGCAAAGGCTCGATGACCGTGTGTCAGGATCACGGAAGACAGTACAACTCTGCAGGAAGGGTAAGACCAGATGACCTCCGAGGTCTTCTCCATCACTGAGACTCCATGAGTCTGTCATTACGAAATGACTCAAAGCGAGCAGAGTAAAGCTTGCTCTCTGTCGTCCCTCACAATAACAATCCTGATACCCTCTCTGGGCCGTGCACATCACACAGTTTTTACAAAGCACTTGCACATCTATTATTTCATTTGAACCTCACGACAACTCTGTGAAATACACAGAGAAGGTATTATCCCCTTAGTTTTACAGTTGAGGAAACTGAGGCTGAGGTGGTGTCACAGTGTCAGAGCTGGAAGAGAAACCCATCTTTTCAGTAACTCCTCCATGCTGCTTCCTGTCCCACCCCCACCCTCCCCTGAAACTGATCCATACCAAGTGGAAAATTTACACAGGACTGACAGTAAGGGGTTAAAAATACTCATTTCAGATCTTCCCCATGAGAGCAATAAAATTATAAATATAAGAAAAATATATATACCTGTGAAGGTGGATCAGACAGAGGAGACCGTTTTGGCGACTTTTTCACCCTAAATGTATCACTGGAAACAAAATTTAAAACGTAAACACAACAAACAGAGGCACAGAGAACCCGTCGCATCAAGATACAAAGCAGACTACAACCACCATTCCTGCTAGCCCGTACTGCTCCATACTCCCATTTGCACCACACCAGCTTTACTGAAATACACCCCTCCTGAAAATAAATTGTGTTTTTAGCAACTACTGCTAATTTGTTCCCAAGGAAAAGCAACATAAAGCTGCATCAATAACAGAGGGATGCCATTTTGGAGAAGGGATCCAGAAAGTGAAGCTGATTTAGGCTAGACTTGAGCCATACTTTCAAAAAGCCATTGTTTTAGCCAATTCATGTAGTTGTCTTATAAAAGAACATCAGACCAAAGGAAGGAAGGATTGATGGGCTTGCCTTACTTTTAAAACATTCTCTCTTTAGTGGATGCGCCATTTTGGACTTCTCTGCTATTACCTTGCTTGACTTCACAATGTACCTAGGAAGGAGGTGTTATGCACTCCTTTTATAATTGGCCGGCCAGGGTAGAGCTCACAACCAGATTGCCAGGGAGCAGCAGCAGCCAGTCACAAAACTGGAAGCGAGGGCTAGCAAGTGCTTACAAAGAATATTTAGAGGATCTCCTTATCTGAAGAACTATTTCACTCTACCCACATGTACACACATATATGTATGCACAAATGTATGTAGTACATCTACACGTATATTTATATTTGTGATCTCATTTCTCTCAGAGGGAATAAGTGTGATGCCAGGGGTGTGCTAGAGCCTGCTCATAGCTTGTGAGAGGCAATTTTCAGTGTGAGCACTTACACCTTGGAAACTGGTAAACACTACAAATCAGGGTTTGATTTATTATTTTATTGATTGTCTTGACTTAATAAAGTAACAGAGAAAATGTCAATGATGCAGATGAGACTTAAAAGTATGTCATGCTTACATTTACTGATTGATTTTTTTGGAGAGCTAGTTGTTAAGCATTTATCAGCACACCACTGATCTTGACAAAAGTAGTAAGATGAACTAGATGACTTCCTTCTCAAGATCCCATACAGATCTACCGATTACACTGGGGTAGTTTCAGATTCTGGACTTCCTAGAAATTCAATTCACTAAGAACCTAGACGTGTGCAAGGCCACCCATTCACCAAAAACCTGCTATAAGATAGGTACCATGTAAGCTTAGGAGGAGGAGGTAGAGCCCAAAATTACATCTCTCAGAATACTGGGAGATGAATACAGATGAGGAAAGAGTCCAGGAAGTAGAGAATAATACATTAACATACTTGGGTATATACATATAGCTTGGGTAAATACATCAGGTCATTTTTAAGCAAGCAGAGAATCAATTTTCACATTCTGTGACAAAGCCTTAAGAAACATTATTATATATACACCTAAGGGTTGGGCTGTGATTACACAAGGGAAGCAATTGCTATATTCATCCTAATCCCTTTTTAATTCTCCCCCCTTTTCTTAGGTGTGACTTCTGGCAATCAGGCTCTTCACTTTCTTTCAACCAAAATATTCCAACAATGGCATTGTTATATTAAAAATAAAACACTATAGCAATAGCACTTTCCCTGAGAGCAATCGAAAGAAAGGTCTGTATATATACTTTTTCAGGCATAAAAATATACATATTATATATTCATATTCTTTATATCTTAAAAGTGTTTCTGAAGGATTAACGGAAGTCCCTTTAGCAGAAGACAACCAGATAAAGCAAGCATCCTCCCCCAGGGCTTTGCGTAGGGTTGCCAGGTACTTGCTTAAGATCGTGCTGGTTTTCATTATTAAGGAAGGGAAGAAAGAAAAGCTACCTCCCTCTTATCCACACCTGAGCTGTCTGATAGAGCTCTGTGGGCCAGGGCATAGCAGCAACAGCTGAGAGTTGGTCAGTTCTGCTTTTATAAAAACCCAGCATGACCATACATGGATGCCAAGGATGCATTCCAACGAACAGCCTGTCAGTGTCTTCAAAGACAAGGAGGGGAATGTATGAAGGGCTGTGGATTGCTCTAACATCCGTGCACACCATATTTAAAAAGAAAGGAAAAAAAAAGATTTCTGGCTTAAGGGCTCGGCATCTTCCAGATCTGTGAATTTTTTTTCAGTTTGAAATTACTAAAAACGTTCCAACTCTGCCCATTAGCAAGAACAAACCCTACTCAAGGAAACTATGGATTCAAATCTTGGCAGGTAGTTGTTAATTGAGCCACGGTGTTGTCCAAAGCAATCTTCCACCCATCCAATTGATGATGAAAGGAAAAAAATGCAAAGAAAAAAATAAGAGAGCAGGTTCACATGATAACATCAAATAAGGGGAGAAAAAGTTTCACTCCCAACAAGCAGGCAAGCAATTTCACTTGTGCTAATCATGACAAATAAGAAAAATGACTCCCACTAATATGAAGCCCCATGCCCCATAATTCCCCATCATGCCACAGAAATATGTATGGAACACCCATGAACTATAAATAAGGAGAGCATAGAAGCCAGAAACAAATGCGGATGAGAGATGGGGGTGAAGAGGGGAAGCCCTTTTTAGCATAAAAATCTGATTCCATTAAGTTTACTTACAACAGAGAACATACAGACATCACATCTTCTACCATCCTAAGACAAAAAAGACAAAGAAAAAGAGAGACAGACAGAAGGAACTGACAAAAAAGATAAATCTGCGGACAACTGGTTATTAATGTGTTAGGAAAAAAATCACCGTCCACTGTGGAGACCGCTGGAAAAGCTACAAACACTCAAGATTGGGGGGGGGGCCCTCTCTGGGAAGGTCTTGATTTAAGCCTTCTGGTGTTTCTCAGCAGATCTTTAGGGCATTTCCCAAGCCATAGGGTGCCTTGTGCGCACAGGAAATGACACTTGGGAGGTAGGAGTGCAAGACTGCTTAGAATAGCTCCATCTTGTTTTAGCCTGCTTTTTTTCTGCCTTTTGTGGTAGCTCCGATGCCTGGTACATAGTAGACGCTTAATAATGCATGTTGGATTGATTTGTTGACTTGGCAACACATGCCCACAAGCTATCGAGGAGATCAATAGTGGGACTAGGGATAATAAGATGATGCACAAAGAATAGGTTTTCTTTTAGCTTATGTCAATTCCATTGATCCCTTGTCCTTCCCTCTCCTCACCAAATACTCCCTTCCCCAAAAAGGAAAGAAGAGAATTGGTGTCAGGCATTTCAGATGACAAGAACATGCCTTCCTTTCATTTGCAGCTTGGGGCACAACGACTCCTAGCCTAATTCTCTGACTAATTTTCTAAAAAAAAAAGCTAAATGTTTGGGTAAACAGAGATAGGAAACATCATAATCTGTTTCCCAACTTGTTGGATTCTGCTGTGCTGCTAAAGGTGATCTCAAGGCTGTCTCCTCTTAGATCTAAATACAGTCCTGAGACATTCTGAGTCCCTCTCCAATGTTATATCCTGGCCATGGTTCAGACCTCAAACTGAGTAGGCCATCTGTTGTCTATTCAAGGCTAAGCGGGCAGATAGAGGCCAGTAGCTGTCCTTTGTTCTGTGGCTGCCCAGAGTGATGACTGGACCCCGAGGAATTGTGAAATCCTCAAAGGTTCCAGGCATGGAACCCTCCTGGAGGAAAAGGACAAGGCTTCTTAAGTGCATAACAGTACTAGATGTACATTCAATATCTTTAATAAGGTGCCAGCTGGCTTCTGAATCTGGCATACATGTCACAGTGAATTCCTCTTAGGGGCAGTGATTGGGACTGACCCTGTGATTTCAAAGATAGAGAGAACTCAAAAGATCATAGATACAGTGATAGAAAGGACCTTAGAGGCCATTGAGTACAATCCCCTTATTTTACAGGTGAAGAAACTGAGACACAGAAATGTGACTTGCCTGAGGTCACACTTCTAGGCAGTTAGGTGGCACAGAAGATAGTGTTTGACTTGGAGTCAGGGAGACTTGAGTTCAAACCTGGACTCAAGTCACTTAGTAGCTGTAAGTGGGCAAATAACTTAACTTATATCTGCCTCAGTTTCCTCATCTATAAACTGGGGATAATAAAATCTACTCCCCCCCAGGATTGTTGTGAGAATAAAATTAGATAATATTTATAAAACACTTTGCAAACCTTAAAGCACTGCATGTAAATTCTAGCTAGCTAAGAAGCTATAGTAGTAGTAATACTAGTAATAGTAGTAGTAGTAGTAGCAGCAGCAGTAGCCGCAGCAGTAGTAGTGGTAGTGGTGATGGCAGTATTACCACCACCACCACTACCACCACTACCACTACTAATCTGAGGTAGGATCTGAACCCAGGTTTCCCTGACTCCCAATCTATTCACTACACAATAAGTAATGTCTCTATAAATGCAAGACTGTCCCTTCTCTACAACTTGTAGTCTTATAGAGTTGACAAGAGAGCTCATTATATTCAGCACAAATCTAAATTTGAAGTACATAGTACTATAGTAGTTATTTTTAATGGTCTGACAGAGTTTGGCCAAGACTGTTCCTTCCTTCAAAGTTTTATTTGTTCCATTTGGACTAGGGTTTTGAACTTTTGATTGCAAAAGACTTTAGGGTAGGAAGGTGCCAAGGTGCTGGTCCTAGAAGTCCAAGGGGAAATGGTGAATTTTTTTTTTTCTGAGATCAAAGAGAGTGAATGATGTTCAACAACAGGGTCCATAACAGAGACAGTTTCTCAGCTTCTCCTCAGAGAAGAATCACTGCAAAAAAAAATATTGCTAGCATTGTACAGATAATGAATATGTTTAGGCATCCTAGTTACTAAGTCATTCCAGGAAACAAATTTATACATGGAATAGCCAAGAGGGGGCAGAGGTGAAGGTGAGAAAGTTTTTCTCCTGGAACCTGCTACACAGAGAAACTTTCTTTCTTAAAGGATCCAGTGTTTGTCCTCTATAAAGACATCACCTATCACACAGGTGAGGGTTAGGACCTCAGCCAAAAATAAATTAAATCTTAAAAACACTAGTTTATTAAGACAAAAGCTCCGGGATCCAACTTCTAAGGAATCTCTTGATGGTAGTTCTTTGATGTGCATCCTTTACATGATTGGGAAAATGCCATGACAATTGCTGCAAAGAAGAGGACAAGGTATTCTACTTGTCCAATGTCATTTCTATAATGATAGATGGTCAGGCCAAAAGCCTTCATAAATGTATCCAGGCACCAAGATGAGAATCACTCTAATATCTGCTACCTGCTCTAAAATCCTGACCCAACTCTACCCTTGAACTTACGTCTTTAGCGGTGTCTTCTTTTTCTTTGCAGGCTTGTTTAGGTTGTCTCCTTCCACTCCATTGGTTTCAACAGCATTGGCTGGGATCTCAAAAGAAGCTGGGGACTTAGAAGGTGAGCTAGAGATCTTAGAAGATGTCTTAAAAGGGTCAATAGAGTCATCACAGATGTCAGCATCAAAGTTGTACGTCTGTTGGGGCAGTTTGGGAGACTCTTGTATTTTCGTAGTGGAAGAAAAGGGGTTAAAGTTGGGATCATCCCATTTATCTATATCAAAGGTATAAGAGCCTTTGGAGATAGGGATTTCATTAGGGTCAACAGAGGACTTAGTGGGCGAGGCAGGAGCATTATCAAGTTTTTCCACCGTCTTTTTAGTCTTTGGCCTCCTAAGTGGCATTTTGGCAACTGGCTTTTTACCTATCTTTTTGGGAGGAGGGGGGTTTTCCAGTTGGTCGTCCCAACTTCCCTTATCTTCAGAATAGTCAAACTCCAGCCTTACAGAGAGCCCTTTGGCTGGGGAGTTCTCCTGACCTCCAGTGTCAGATGGCGTCACCTCCACTGCCTCTGGGGCTGTGGCCAGAGGCAATGTCTTTTTCCCAACAGGGGGTGAGTTCTGCACTTTGTTCTTGCCTGTGTTAGGTGGAATATCCCCTTCGCCACTATCAGGGTCCAGGGGATAGGCTGCTTTGGATCCAACAGTAGTCTCCAGGGAGCTCTCCTCTGACAGCTCTGGTCCTGAAGTGTCTATGTTACTCAATTCTGTTTTTGTTTCAGATGCTGGGTTTTCCTCACTGATAACAGTACTCTCTTCCACTGGGTCTTGTTGTGTTTCTTTTACCAGTGGTGTTTCTGTCGGTTTTTTGGTGGTCTGTTTCTTTTTTAAGGAAGGAGGCCTGGTTTTTTTAGTTCTCTTAAGGGTACTAGAAGCGCTGGTCGTACCTGTGCTGTACGCATCAGCTGCTACTGTCCCTGCCTCATTATTCTCCAGAGAGGCACCACCAGCACCATCAAAGTCACTAGCTTGCAAACTGAGAGATCGGGATAAGGTAGATCTGGAGACTGGGACAGAGTCTGTCGATTTTCTCCGGACATTCACTTTGGAGTCCCGATTCTTGGCATCTGAGGAGCTGGGTTCCAAGGTCTGTAAAGTATCTACCACCTCGATGTTATCAAAGTCCAAGTTGTACGTCCCGCTGCTGGCTATTGGTTTGTCCTCATCAAAGACGGTGGAGAAAGAGTGTGATGGAGGACGGAAAGGGCTTCCTTCCACTGATTCACTATGTGGCACATCTGTGATGGAAACGGTCTCAGAACATAGCCCTGTGGAAACAGAGACAAACAGGTCACACTTAAGGAGATGTTCCACATTGACTTCTCCTTTCTTTCCCTCAGCCAGAATTCTAAGTTTTCAGAGCTAGTAAGGACATTTCAAAGCAACAGCATCAGCTCAAAAGGGGATGCAGCTCTTTTTCATGGGCCCTACTGGATGCCTACTAGGTTGGGCTCCAAGATTTTGAGATTCCATTTTTCCAAGTTAATAAATGAATGATTTCAAGCAGTTCTAAAGAGAGGAAATAATGAATTGCCCACATGAAACTACAAAATATGTATCCAGCAATCTGAAAAAGTATAATTTCCTAGCTCAGATATCCCATAGCTGAATACCTAGTTATAAGAGGGAAGATACTATAAGCTTGGGGTTTCCACATTAAAACTTGGATCAAGTAACTTCTAAACAGTAATCTAGAGCCAAAGGAGTCCTTAGAAGCATCTTTCTATCTGTAGCCATGTGGATTTCTCTTTCAAATTGGGAGCACTTAACATACCTGCAATTAGCCCCAGTAGCACATAATGTGGATTAATTTTTTTTCAATTGAGGCATGATGACCTCCATTTTAGTAATGTTTTCCCTAAACTACTGAAATACTGTATGACCTTAATTTTTAAGGGGAGAATTTTATTATTTGGTTCACTATCACATAGCTTAAGACACTGAGGAACAAAATCTTGTCCTCTAAAATATAATTATATGTAAAAATGACCTTCTCTAGCCTCTCTATACTATAGACATTGGTTCTATCTTCCAATATCACCATGTTAAAGTGTTTTCCCCATACTAAAAATCCAATTTACACAAATATTAACCTTAGAGAAATCTCCAATTTTCCTCATTTAGAAAAAAAACACAAGTTTAAAATCAACAACAACAGAAAAATTATAGAATCACTGTTCTTTGCCAATGCATACCCATTTGGGGTAAAAGTAATATTGTATACTAAAAGGGGGATATCTCTATATTTTTCCATATAGTCTCAGAAAATTCTCCTAGTCTAGGCCCCTCAAAGAATGATTTAATAAGAGGGCTACAAGATAGTGTGGGAAAGAAGGAAAGCAAGGGAACAGGCTATGAAAATAACAGGCCATGAATTAACATGTTTTTGCTCAATCATGAAATATCATGAAAGCTGTATTCTTTTATACACATACATAAGATAACCTGAAGCTATAATGGTCCTCCAGCCATATGGCCTAACTTCTCTTGGGAGTGAGGATAACCACAAATTGCACTTACTATCAGTGAAAACTCTCACAGTTGAAAAGATCTGTTCTGTGCAGATGGAAAAGCTCATGGAAGAATAGCTATTAATCCAATATCTAGTAGGACAGGGTGTGAGGTTAGCAAAGAAGCTTAACAGATTCCAAATGTAACGTGATGGCTACTCAACAGTAAAAATAATGATCATTCCATTAGGACTCCAGCCCGGAAAACCCAAATAAAATGCTCCTTGTAGCCAACTCCAACTTCCACAGCTGAATTGAATTGGATAAGGTTAGCTTAAAGTGGGTTAGGATGGTCCTTGGATGCATCCAACCCTACATTGTCGGATGCAGGGGACAAACTTTGTCAGCTCTTGGCCATGCAACCTGAGACAAGGTGTATCTTCTTTAAACTTCTCACAAATTTCTCAATATTGGTGCTGGTCAAGAATACCACACCACCTCCCAAAGGTAAATATGCAGATGTACAGTCACAAGATAAAACAGAAGAAAAGAGAAGATGCTCACAGGAGAATCAACAATCCAATGTGGAGTATATCTTTGGCTGTATCAACACAACATGAGAAAAAAAATGGTCAATTCAGACAGTTCAGTAATAAAAAACAGACTCCCAAAATCAAGCTAGTGGTTTAGTATTGTATATATCAATCTACTGGATGTTTACATGACTCCTACCCAAAAGAAATATATAACCTAGTTCATGGAGATAACACGGACCCAACCTATACCTAAATATCTGAAACAACTAGAGAACAAGCCCACAGAAATGCATAGTGATGCCTCAGTTTTATAGAATGGTTGGTTGGATGGTGGATTCTGGATACATAATTTTTCCTTTCTGTTAATCACTAAAAGTTTTAAAAAAAATAAAATAGCATTTTTTCTAAAACTCCATTATATATTTCTTTGTCTTAGCAGAGAATATGCTGAACATAATGTACCCTTTTCTAAATGTCTCACAATCATTATTATGAATAGTGATACTTGTATTTGCCTGTAATAGCAATGCCCTCGGGGGCTACTGAAAAGCATGACTCAATTTGTCTTGATACTGAAATGCTCTGCTGGCCTAGTGGATGTTTCTTTTGTCTCTATCACCATAGTTACTCATTTTTAGCAGTCATTTCTTACTTTGCTCAGTGGGTCTGCTGCTCACTTCCTTATTCCATGCTACCTGGTACCACCATTGGTCCAATCATCCAGGAAGCTTAAAGTTATCTCTGACTCTTTTCTTTCCCTCATTTCCTCCCCCAGGTGAGATTGATCTTTTCTGCCTATTGAGTAAGCAGCCTTTCCCTCTGTCACACTCTTCCCTCTTGTCTACTGTTTTCTCTATTGTATATTTTCTCCTTGTCCTGCTTTTTGTATCAGCTTTTCACCACCTGCAGCCATAGCTGGCCAATGAAAGTCCCTTCCTTGTGGTCAGTGATTCCAGCGCTCATCGAGTCATTTTCACATCTTGGCTTAATTTCAGCTATTTCTGTCACTGATTTGAACAGCCATTCCTCTGAGTTTGTTGTAGCTGTTCTGTGTCACTAAGGGTTCAGCAATAAAAATGACCACTAAGTAAAAGAAGTGTTACTGAATGCCCTGCATAGCATGGTGCTGACTTAATACCTAAGCATGGTTAAGTCTACAGTTAAGTTCTGGAAATCTCTGATTCCATGATCCAGTTTTGTTAGGATCAGTATAAGCATCACCTTAACTTTAGAAGTGCAGATTCTAATCACTGAAAACTTTTATCTCCAGATAATGTTTTTTATTCAATGTTACTCTTCTGAGAAGATGCATATTATACCTAGATTTGTTGAGAAGAGCTTTGAGAGCTAAGAATCTATTGAATATTACATAGATATTTGCCTTATGTTGTATAAAAAAAACTTGTTCTACATTATAGGAATTCTAAGAGGGAGAGTCATTAACTTTATCTTAGCGTTTCTGATGCCTCCTCTTCTTTCAAGGCTCAGCTCAAGTAACACTTCCTCCAAAAAACCTTTACTAATCCCGACTCTTCCTCCATCCTTAGAATGTGAGCTCCATGTTTGTTTTGTTTTTTGCTTTTGATTGTATCTTAGCCCTTGGGATAGTGCCTGGCACGTGGTAAGTATTTAATAAATGCTTATGGACTACCAGACTCAGCTCAAAGTCTTTTCTCACCTCTTCAAATGTGACTAGAGAATTTCATCTGGAACTCTGTTTTGATCCCATCACATCCTAATTTATACTGTATCTCTCTCTGTGCAGCTCACATCCCTCACTTCCTTCCAGAAGAATGGAAGCTTCTTGAGAATAGGGACTATGATATGTTTTATTTCAGTATCCCTAGCACCTAGGACAGTGTCTTTATATAGTAAGCATGTAATAAATATTTGTCTTTGAATTTGAATTTTGTTGTTGTTCAGTCATTTCAGTTGTTTCTGACTCTTTGAGACTCCATTTGAGGTTTTCCTTTCAAAGATACTGGAGTGGTTTGCCATTTCCTTCTCCAGCTCATTTTATAGATGAGGAACTGAAGCAAATAGGGTTAAGTGACTTGCCCAGAGTCACACAGCTAATAAGTGTCTGAGGCTGGATCTGAATTCACAAAGATGAGTCTTCCTGACGCCAGGCCTGAAACTCTATCCACTGCACAACCTAGAGGCCCCTAGCTGATTCTGAACAATCAAGATAAATTCTCATTTACATTATTACAAGCTGGCTTTACTATGCCTCAAGGTTGAGTATTTATCACTTCTATAATAAACAGCTAGAAAAATCTAGTTCATGTTTATTAAAGTATTTTGAAGATATGCTTAAATTCACCTTAATTATTGATTTCCCTTAGAACTTTTGTTTCTTCAGGGATAACGAAAGGAACATTAATGAATTCAAACCTTCAAGCCTTCTTCCTCCCTCTCCCAATTCTAAATCCAACCCTAAATCACTGAATCAATCAACTGACCAGCAACAAAATAATAAGCATCTATTGTATATACCTACAGAGAAATACAAAAGTATTAGGACCCATTTCTTGCCCTTCTAGACTTTATAATCTAATTAGGGGCAGGGACAAATTATTCATTTGAAAGGATTAGAGAAATATTAAATGCTAAACTGTGTGCTACTAATTAAAAGTGAACTGGGGATTTTTGAAAGGGAGACTTAAAAAGAATCAGTCAATTTTAGAAGAGATGTGAGAAGACAGGCAAACCAACAGAGTGGAGGTGGAGTTGTGAATTAGTCTAATCATTTGGGAAAACAATTGATAATTATGTGAGAAAATTCACTAAATTTTTCATGCTTTTTGACCCAGACATCCCACTACTTGAAATATATCCCAATGAGGTCAACGACGGAAAGAAACAAAGGCCCCATGTATACTCATTTGCTCTGACATAATGAAAAAAAAAACCACCTGGAAACACAGAGCCTGCATATCAATCAAGGAATGGCTAAACAAATTGTACTATACGACTGTAAGGGAATATTATTGTGCCATAAAACTGATGAATATTAGGAATTCAGAAAAACATGGGGAAATTGATACAAAGCGATTCAGAGAAAACAGAACCAAGAAGATAAAACGTACAACAATTACAATAATGTAAAGGAAACACTAAAAAGCAAAAGAACTCAAATTAATCGCAATGAATTCTGTGGGTTCCAAAGGGCAAAGGATAAAACCCATATCTCCCCTCTCAGAATAAAGGTGGGAGACCACAAGTGCAGAATGTTGCATGTGCTATCACATTTTGGGGGTTCCATCGGTTCTGTTTAACTGT